ATGGGTAAAAACGCAAATCTTTCTGAAAAAATTGCTGTTTCCCGTATTTCGGATTAAATCTACATTCCTATGTAATTTATTGTTTTAATTCAATAAAAGTGTATCGGATGAATCCTTTCGGGGAATTGAAAGAAATTGGTAGGCAAGTACAGCGCCAACGTTTTTTTGCGTTTTGCGTTTTGTTCTGCCATTTCGAAAAAAGCTTATATCGAAGCGACAGCTTTCCGGCAAAAAAATCCATCGCCTAGTAGTAAACATTTTGAATTCTATTGAATAATCGAACAATCAACGTTTCAGTATAATCTTTATATTTGCATTACTGTACAGTATTTAAAAAAAAAATTGGTTGAGAACGCAAAAAATGTGAGTCGTTTAGTACAAACGTCTCTGTGCATCGGTCTGCCATTTTTTAAATGTGCATATATGAGAGCGAACACTATCCCGAGAAAAATCGACAGCTCTCTTCGCGATATTTTGGATTGAGTGTGATTCATTTGAAAATGTTTGAAGTTGGGGAAACTCTCCGAAAGAGAAGAAGAATGAAAAACGCTCATATCCATCGATTTTTCTTCAGCATGTTGCTTCAAGGACGATCCATGAACACGGCAACTTTATGCACTACCCAAAAATATTCGGAAATATTTCGTATGCAAAAAAATTTATATTGAATTAAATCGAATGTAGGAAGCATTCGTTGCGTCCTAATTTTTTTCATGTCCTTTTTTTTTAATGCAATCACGAAAACTTTAGTACTACTCCTTTTTTGTCGTGACTGCCGTGGTGGTGAGGTAAAGAGTAGAAGCACGGGGTTCTCGGGAATTGTCACCTCTGTTGAGCCGAAACGATGATGCACGTTTGTCCCGAGTAAACTATGATAGTACGTGCCAAGAGGGAATTCAAATATTTCTGAAAAGTCTTCAGATGCTTTCTGAAGCAGGCCATCATGTCGAAAACCCGTTTTATTTCCTTCCACGAAGCTCAGAAATAGGACACGGGTTTACAGCACCGTATTCAAAATTTCAAAGTTTCGGGACCTCTAGTTAGTCTAGTACAACTGTACAAGTAGGTGGTTTTGATCAAGTTTAGAAAAAAAACACGAAAATGGTGAAAATCGAACGAGTTTACGCGTTTACCTAAAACCTATTTCGAGAGAAATTTCTTCAATTCTGAAGAATGTGATACAAGAAGTTATTTTTTCCTGAATCATTTCTGTGCGATGGATAAACTTCCAACTGCAAAATAGTGCGCGTGGGTAAATTTTCTATATGGCGAGTTTTAATCAGAAGACCGCATTAATTGTTCGTGAAAAAACTCGAAAGACTCAGATTCATATTTTTTTTCGTGGCCTTGAAAACTTGCGTTGATGATTTTCGGAATGCAAAGGATCCAAAAAAAATTGAGACTGAAGAAAATTGGGAGACTGCGAAAAAAAAATATTCAAGATTCTTCTGGAAGTTTTGATGAGGCCTTGCAAAAATCGCAGACATGAAAAGATAATCCTAAAACGAGCAAAAGAGGCGTGGCGTGTTTTTCTCAAGTATTTCTGATGCCGGCCCCATTTCTTGACATTAAAGATTTCTCAAAGTATTCCTGATTGCATCAAACATTTGTCTGCTTTTGATGTTACAGCATTCTACTTTTGCAAAAATATTTTTTTAAATTAAATTAGCTGAAATCCGGCGTCTGTTTAAATTGATAATTTGTTGAGAGTCACGTTGCTTTCAGGAAGAACTCTTCGCGTGTCTGAGTAATTCAAAATCAACCACGGATTCGTATCGGAACGTTTTATTAATCATTAAAATATTAGACGGTATTACTCTGAAAATAATCATTTTTTCTCATCAGCTTTCTTCGCCCTTTGTTTGAAACGTTGTCTCCCAATTTCGCGCTTATGTGATGAGGTTGGCACGGAAAAAAATGTCGACAGAAACCGACAGCCGTCTTTCTGAAGTGTAAACGACGTGCGAGGTTTACTCAATCTGAACGTGTGTTCAACATCAGCACGTCACTTCATTGAAGACGAGCGAATACAGTTTTCAACGATCGACGGCACATGATGGAAATGTTTACAAGAATAATATAATTTATGGACTACGATCAATCAACCCGGCTTTGTTTCGTAGCTCTCTCGTTATTTGCGCTTAGATGCGGGTCATCAGGCTCAACAACTGATGTGGCATGTGGTTCTTGATTTGTATTTCATATTTTCATCTACTGAAAAAATTTAGGACACATTTGAAAGATAATAAATTGAGCAGTTGAATGATGTTCAGTGATACATGTTATTCTATGATTAAAGCTACACTGTTGTTTGAAAAGTCTCTAGAATTGAATTTCGTTACAAAGAATTTCGTTAAAAAATAATCTATATATTCTGGGAAAAAAAATTCTTATTTTTTTGTGTCCCTGTCCAATAGTTGCGATGTTATTTGAGTTCAATTATAACGATGTTTTTTCGTGACGCGACTATTTTACTGCTCCAATTGAATGGCTTCGTTGTATCGAGATTTTACTATATTTCAAGGCTTCTTTATGTACCTAATTCATTGAAAAACATTGTTTCAATGGGTGTTGCAGTTTAATCAATTGAAATTTCTCATGTGCAGTAACTTACTAACAAATTTTGATTTCCGAACGGAAAATCTTGAATTTGGTTGCAGGAAATTCTTTGAAATTCTAGTCGCAATTTCGCTGAAAATGCAGCTATCAAGAATTTGACGACTGACAAGCTGAGTTTAAACGCCGTTTCTCAATGACATACTGTTCTGACGTAGCAATATCAAGTACAGTACAGTACAGTAATTCGAAATAAGAGATTCGAATCTTACATCAACTCAAGAAAATGAGCCGTTTCAGCTGACCTGAACCATGTTTCAATGTTCGACCTTATCAGCCCAAAGAAGGTTTTCGATGTCATGAATCACAATGTGTCGAATATGTAAATTAATTTCATTAACGCTGAGTGCGAAAGTGCAGACCTAGGAATGGACCATGAGGTTCTCACGTCGAGGCATGCACTATGTGGCAAGTGGCAAACCATGCCACTCCCACATACGCATAATCCTGGCCAGCATTTATATGCATATAATCCAGGCAACACCGGGCCGGTGTAGTGGAGAAATTATTCAGCCCCCGAATTCCGTCGCAAACCTCTGAAGAATTCAAATATGATCCGAATTTCGAATTGAATTTCCTGATCGCATGCTCGGGGAAAATTGGATCTCGGGGTAACTTCGCACAGCAGTTGCCCAAAGTCTGAACGGAAGCGATGCGAAATATTTCACAGTTGTGATTATGGGTTCTTCTAAAATTTTGAACTCTCGACATCTATCGAGAATTCCGGAGAATTCTTGAAGAAGGCATTTCTTGATTTGAAAAAAAAAAAATCATACGCGTGTGATTGATTGTAATGCATTTGTTTCACTACTGAAGCACGTCCTTTATGCGTGATTTTTTTTTTCATTTTCGAGGCACACAAAAAAAAAGGACAGGGACGTGTCGTACGATCGATTGCTTTTATATTTGAAAGAATTCGGTACTGAATCAATTTGAATTATTGCTCTCTTGAATGTGGGAGTCCTATCATCTGGTGCACTGACTATAATATGAGTCACTCTTTAATCATTCAAATGTTCCAGTACCAATATATTAATCTTTGGATTTATGAAACTGTAGCATGATATATATTTTATATGTCTTGGTCACGCATAAATAAATACATTTTTGCAGTACTTTACTTCACTAACTAAAGCCAAGGATTGATCTTTCACTCAGAAGAATTTACATTTTAAGAATCAGTCCTCGTTTGAAAAAACCAGATTTACTTGAAAAATATGGCTGTGAATCGATGGTTGTTTAAAAGGCAAAATAGATGAATTTTGAAATTTAATTAAACTATTTTTTTATTTTTGCCAGCCAATTTATCTTTTTGAGATTATGGTACATTTATAGTCCTCGACTTGACTGTTGTTCAACATTTCTATCGTCGTCTATCTGAACTTCGAGGACTCGTTTTTTTTTTTTTTTTTCGGCTTGAACGGAAATTTGCAGTCTATAACTGTTCGGCTTTAATTCATTCATTATGATCAGCTCAGGTTGACTACGGGAATGGAAATGCAGTGTGTTGTAAACATAATTTGGTTTGTAGATTTTTGGTTGACTTGAATCTTTTTCAGAAGATATGAAATGAAGTTCTAGACAACAATCAGCCGGGGTGCTTGACGCCCTAGTATAAAGTTGATATATGTTTGAGTATTAGATTCAATAGGTTTGGACAGCAGTTTTGCCAGCAGTCTTTCAAGTAAGGAACTGATTCTTCAATGCAGAAGGAATACACTATTTATACAATTTTCTTTCTATGGCATTTTTGTCCCTGAGAGCATTATCCTTCTAAAAGGATTTTCCCAAGAATTCCAAATCTTGTGGGAACCCGAGGTTTCGATTGGTCCCATTGGATCCCCAACTTTCCCAAAGTTCTGCCGTTTTCCTGGCGCCACTCTAATCCTGCAGTTTTAACCTATTGCTTATTTCAATTTTCAACACAGTGTACTGCTGTATCTTTAGTTTGTCAAACAAAACAGACAGGTGTTTTCGTTTGCACGCCGTTTGCTTTCTCTATTTTTGAGCTAGCCAAATGAGCACTTTAGCTAGTTACACTGGTACAACACGTGGGGGTATAGTTCGTCGCAGGTTGCAATATTCGTGTCACGAGGCCCACACACGCAGGGGGGCCGGTCGTAAGCACTCCAGGGGAAGACTGATTAAACCGACTGAATTATTCGGTCTTGAAAATCGTTGCCAGGAAAAGCAGCTTTCCTGTCTGAGCAGAGTGTCCCTTTTTCGTCTCTTGTGTGTGTGTGTGCATGTGCACCCTCATCTGTCCTTTTTGCGGAAAACCCGTGGAGCTGAGGGCGCCTGTGCTGTTGCTGGTGGCTGGCTGCTGCTGCTGCTTCTCTTCCTTCTATAGTCGTTGTTCCCGTGTGGCGGGAAGATGAAGAAACATGTTCGAAAAGCGGGTTTCCTGGGTTTTTAGGGGTGTGGGTTGCAACTGCGACATGCCTGCGTGGCGAGGAGCTACCGTAAATGGAAAGGTCCCGAAATACCGTCCGTCGTCGGGACACTGTTTCCTGCTTCCTCTGATGCAAATGCTGACTTCCGAGTCATACTCACGAACTAATCTGACGCATCTTCGTTTCGATAAAACTTTTTAATTAGACGATAAAAAGGTAACAAGAAAATATTGAGAATTGCCTCTTTAATTTCAAAAACTTCTTTGTGTGGAAAATATTGTGCTAGTCTTTTTTTCTTAGAATACGGACAAAATTATCAAGAAACGCAGGTGTAATGAGTTTTTATGATCTAGGATTGTTGAAAACTCTGTATTAAAAGTCTGGGGTGGAAATGAATCATGAGCACTTTTTTGAAATGAGTTGGCAACGAAAGAAGTAAACTTATATTTAATCGCAGCAAGTCCAGCTGAAAAATCGTGTCTCTTCCGCCCAGTTTGCGATTTTTGAAACCGGTTTACCCTCGATGTGGATGGATAATTTAATTAAAATACCTCGTGAACCATCGACGGTATGATTAGCATCTTTATTGCTATTTCTGTCAAAATAATTAGCCCAAACCCATTTCGGGAGAAATCTTCACATCTGAGTTTTTTTCTGCTCAACGTGATAGAAAATTACGTGGTATAAATCTCAGCCTTTTTTAAGACACAAGATATGACGAAGGTGAAATACTGCTGTATGCTGATCTTTTTGATAAGCAATGTCGAAGATAACATTCTGCGTTTATTTTCATGAGTTAATTGATGTATCTGGTATGAATTGACTCGAGAAAATCCGATTTTCGTGCGCGAGTATAAACCAACCCTTTCAATGACCTCGATTGGAAATCAGCCGTAACGATGGTAATTTGGTTTTAGTGCATAAATTAATGCGGTGTTTGTGCATGTAACGAATCATGCAATTAATATGTGAGTCCTGCTGCTTTTTAATTTTCTTCCTTTTTTAACGGCCGGGGAGTCATGCGAAGCCTTTTGTGTGTGCAAATCTGCAATTCTGACCATCGATTCTCCATAATAAATTTCTCATGCATCGGTCTTTTCGCGGAGCATTTTTCACAGGAAAACCGTCCATTGCAAAAACCGTTGACCATGATAATAAAGAATTTCCCAACATTCCTTCATTAGTAAAGTTCCTTTTTAATTTTTTTGGACTAGCTAGAATTTCTAGTGAGGTATTTCAATTTTGGCATCATTGCTGAGCGTGCAAATAGTCCTAGTGCTCGTAATCAGGTAGTAAATGATCCGAACGGGGCACGAAAAGCAGTACTTCGAAAGTGATCAAAAATTGATTGTTTATTTCAGAGCGTGTTCAAAAAAATCTACTGTATTATGAAAGGATTCTGATTCATGTCTATAGACTCTATCGTTCAAAATATTATAATGTATTCATATATACATGTATACATATTATGATCTATAAATTTTAAATATAAATTTCGCGGATCGAAACACGATTATCTCAGCATTCAAGAGGGAGAGAGAATGGCGGTTTTTATTTTCGGTCGTTGTTCAATTTTAACGGACAATTACGGAAGATTTTATGTAAAATTTAGGAAATTGAGAAAATTTGGCAATTAAGAATATTTGAAAGGGAGTTTTTCTCTCGAATTTCTTGGCATGGGTGGTTTAATTCAGTTTGATAGTGCAAAATCCACTTTGACGTAGATGTTTGCTGATTTCAGTGCACCTGAGTACTCGAAAACTTGAAGGTATTTTCCAGTTACTGGAAGGTTGAATCGTTCCTTCTATTTTTTTTTTTTGCACTGAATTTTTTCGGGAGATTATAAAAGGTTTATTTTTTACTCTACCCACGTAATATTTTTGAAGACGAATTCGTTGTAGTAAATGCACCATAACCATGTTTGAATGGGTGAATGTGGGAATTAATTTTTCCTTTTGGAATGTTGTCATGAATCTTGTCGGAAGTTCATTGAATTATTACGCGTGAAAGCGTCGTACATTCATCATCGGCGCAAGAATCGGCATTATTTGCAGCACCAACATTCGTGCGTCCATCCACGGGGTTCCGCATGCTGAATTATTGGCGAAATTCCGCGTGACCTGTGGCTCGATGTCTCGCATTCCCAAATACACAATGAAGTATTGCTTCACAGAATTTCCAGCCGACGATTTATACGATAAATTTGTCTTCTATGACAAGCAGTTCTTCGCCATTCCTTGAAATTTTTTTTTTTCGTCCGGGAAAATCAGCAGTAGAAAACATTGAACTTCATGCGTCCACAGTTTGGGTCATAAATCTTTAAAAACCTTGCGGTTGCTATTTGAAATAGATTCATAAAGTTTTGCACATGATTGGAAGGAAATTTAGCCAAAAACCCCAGACTTTTTGGGGGATTTTATTTTATTTTTTCCTTGACGTTTATGCATTGACTTTTTCACGCGTGAACATGCGTTTCAATGAGAATATTTTCACTACCGTTATGTTCAATGCGTAATCAGCAATTTACTGAATGACAGAAGTCCAATCTGAGAGCAATCGATACAGGCGGAAACAATTTCAAAAGCAATTTTATCGAGTTTCACGAAATAGAAGGCAGAATTCTGCCTCAACTTGTTTCCTTTTACATTCCATCGATAAAGTCGAACTTTGATTCAGAAGAAGAAGTCGAAATCCGTGGGAAGATTGGTTTTTGCGAAGAAGAGTTCTGGTAAGAATAATTGCTTCTTCACCACGCGAAACTAGGACAATCTTTAGTGAGAATCAACTTCATTAAAAAGCAGAAAGCAACTACGGCATCAGTCTGGTATTTTTGTTCAACATGCTGGTCGTTTCAATACCGCTGGAATACTAAGTTTTGAACCCGAAAAATGTATCGAATATTCTTTTAATGTATATTTTTCAAGGCGATGTGTAAAATGTATTTTACAGCTAGAAGTATTGAAAACTCTTTTCTGGTCGAGTATGGAAATCTTTACCGTGTAGATTCCTCTTGCGTCTGGTGATTTCATCAAATTTTTGCACGAAGGAGTGTTGACAAAAATTTGAGAACTTGTTAGTTCCAAATACGGAGTCCTTCCCTGAACTCGTGATCGCGCAAGTTCTGTTTTCTGTATGACTCCAGAGTTCCATGAATATTCCAAGAGATTAAAGGATCAACCAGTGGGGATTTTCGGGGTCCAAACAATGTGCGAATTTCCGGTTTTTAATCCACCATTGTTGCACTCTGACTTGCACACAGGGGAATTGCGTATGCACACATTCTGCTCGGCAAAAACAGGTAAAGCTGCTAATATTTAATCCGCTTTAAATCCCCCTTCTGCAGCTTGTGCCCTGAAGCTTCTGCATCCGAGAAGGAAACTTCTTCCCATCAAGTTCGCCTCATTCTGGATCGCATGTAGTGCTTTTCTCTGTCTTATTTCCGGAGATAAATACTTCCTAGGAATATATAATGCAAGGGTTTGGTCAAAAATGTTCCAAATCACGTGCTTTCTTAGCGGAGTGANTTTTCGTGCGCGAGTATAAACCAACCCTTTCAATGACCTCGATTGGAAATCAGCCGTAACGATGGTAATTTGGTTTTAGTGCATAAATTAATGCGGTGTTTGTGCATGTAACGAATCATGCAATTAAAATGCGAGTCCTGCTGCTTTTTTCTTACTTTTTTTTAACGGCCGGGGAGTCATGCGAAGCCTTTTGTGTGTGCAAATCTGCAATTCTGACCATCGATTCTCCATAATAAATTTCTCATGCGTCGGTCTTTTCGCGGAGCATTTTTCACAGGAAACCCGTCCATTGCAAAAACCGTTGACCAATGATAATAAAGAATTTCCCAACATTCCTTCATTAGTAATGTTTCATTCTAATTTTTTTGGACAAGCTAGAATTTCTATTGATTTATTTCAATTTTGGCATCATCGCTGAGCGTGCAAATAGTCCTAGTGCTCGTAATCAGGTAGTAAATGATCCGGACGGGGCACGAAAAGCAGTACTTCGAAAATTATCAAAAATTGATAGTTTATTTCAGATCGTGTTCAAAAAAATCTACTGTTTTATGAAAGGATTATGATTCATGTCTATAGACTCTATCGTTCAAAATATTATGATGTGTAAATATATACAAGTATACACATATTATAATCGATAAATTTTAAATGTAAATTTCGCGGTTCGAAACACGAGGTTCTCAGCATTCTGGAGGGAGAGAAAATGACGGTTTTTATATTCGGTCGCGGTTCAATTTTAACAGAGAATTATGGAAGATTGTACGTAAAATTTAGGAAATTGAGAAAATTTGGCAATTACGAATATTTGAAAGGGAGTTTTTCTCTCGAATTTCTTGGCATGGGTGGTTTAATTCAGTTTGATAGTGCAAAATCCACTTTCACGTAGATGTTTGCTGATTTCAGTTCACCTGAGTACCTCGAAAACTTGAAGATATTTTCCAGTTACTGGAAGGTTGAATCGTTCCTTCTATTTTTTTTTTGCACTGAATTTTTTCGGGAGATTATAAAAGGTTTATTTTTTACTCTACCCACGTACTATTTTTGAAGACGAATTCGTTGTAGTAAATGCACCATAACCATGTTTGAATGGGTGAATGTGGGAATTAATTTTTCCTTTTGGAATGTTGTCATGAATCTTGTCGGAAGTTCATTGAATTATTACGCGTGAAAGCGTCGTACATTCATCATCGGCGCAAGAATCGGCATTATTTGCAGCACCAACATTCGTGCGTCCATCCACGGGGTTCCGCATGCTGAATTATTGGCGAAATTCCGCGTGACCTGTGGCTCGATGTCTCGCATTCCCAAATACACAATGAAGTATTGCTTCACAGAATTTGCAGCCGACGATTTATACGATAAATTTGTCTTCTATGACAAGCAGTTCTTCGCCATTCCTTGAAAATTTTTTTTTTCGTCCGGGAAAATCAACAGTAGAAAACATTGAACTTCATGCGTCCACAGTTTGGGTCATAAATGTTTAAAAACCTTGCGGTTGTTATTTGAAATAGATACCTAAAGTTTTGCACATGATTGGAAGGAAATTTAGCCAAAAACCCCAGACTTTTTTGGGGGATTATATTTTATTTTTTCCTTGATGTGTATGCATTGAAATTTTCACGCGTGAACATGCGTTTCAATCAGAATATTTGCAGTACAGTGATGTTCAATGCGTAATCAGCAATTTACTGAATGACAGAAGTCCAATCTGAGAGCAATCGATACAGGCGGAAACAATTTCAAAAGCAATTTTATCGAGTTTGACGAAATAGAAGGCAGAATTCTGCCTCAACTTGTTTCGTTTTCCATTCCATCGATGAAGTTGAACTTTGATTCAGAAGAAGCGGTCGAAATCCAAGGGAAGATTGGTTTTTGCGAAGAAGAGTTCTAGTAAGAATAATTGCTTCTTCACCACGCGAAACTAGGACAATCTTTAGTTAGAATCAACTTCATTAAAAAGCAGAAAGCAACTACGGCATCAGTCTGGTATTTTTGTTCAACTTGCTCGTCGTTTCAGTACCGCTTGAATACTAAGTTTTGAACCCAAAAAATGTATCGGATATTCTTTTAATTTATATTTTTTAAGGCGACGTGTAAAACGTATTTTACAGCTAGAAGTATTGAAAATTCTTTTCTGGTCGAGTATGGGAATCTTCGCCGTGTAGATTCCTCTTGTGTCTGGAAATTTCATCAAATTTTTGCGCGAAGGAGTGTTGACAAAAATTTGAGAACTTGTTAGTTCCAAATACGGAGTCCTTCCCTGAACTCGTGATTGCGCAAGTTCTGTTTTCTGTATGACTCCAGAGTTCCATGAATATTCCAAGAGATTAAAGGATCAACCAGTGGGGATTTTCGGGGTCCAAACAATGTGCGAATTTCCGGTTTTTAATCCACCATTGTTGCACTCTGACTTGCACACAGGGGAATTGCGTATGCACACATTCTGCTCGGCAAAAACAGGTAAAGCTGCTAATATTTAATCCGCTTTAAATCCCCCTTCTGCAGCTTGTGCCCTGAAGCTTCTGCATCCGAGAAGGAAACTTCTTCCCATCAAGTTCGCCTCATTCTGGATCGCATGTAGTGCTTTTCTCTGTCTTATTTCCGGAGATAAATACTTCCTAGGAATATATAATGCAAGGGTTTGGTCAAAAATGTTCCAAATCACGTGCTTTCTTAGCGGAGTGATCGGACATGGATCAAATCTGAGAGAGTATAATTTTGTAATTTATCATGGGGATGAGTGAAGAGTATGTAATTGCGAAAAATGTGAATTTCGGATTTTATAAAATGATTAAATTGTGCTTAAAATTCAAAATAACTATTTTGATGTGCCTCAATTGCACGTTATATGTTTTTTTCTTTACTTTTAGGCAGTATCAACTGTTCGAGTGATTGAATATTTTTTTCATTTATACGTTCAGAGATCTGACAATGAACCGTGATTTAAATTAGGGTTGAATGAATTAAAATTGAACTTTGACCTTTCTTTGCGTCATGAAAATCTTGAGGTTGTGGGAAATAAATATTTGTATTTTAGATATTAAATGTTGCAGATTTTAAGCTGCATTAAAAACATTCCAGATGCAAGAGACATCTGAGTGCTGAGGCCCAGCCTCCAAATGAATTTAATTTTAAAAAGTACAAAACTACATTATGGCTGCAGAGAATAAGAGAAGCTGGAGCATCCTCACTCCTTGGATGTTAATAGAGGACTCTTATTGTCTCTGATCACAGGTTTCAAGAAGACAACATTCACACACACAATCAGCAAATACAATCTTGCATTGTGCAATGAAAACTCACTTCCAAAAAGAAATAAAATCAGCAAAGAAAAGGTGCTTTGCCTATGGCGCAATTCCTGACGCGCAAACTTCCGAAGCAAATAACTCCGCGAATTTTACACTTGAAAAATTTCACAACATTTTAAATTGAAGCCAAAGATGTTCTTCAACGTTTCTTGTATCATATACAAATTGACCCGCTTGACAAATCTTGAGTTACTCTCACTTTTCTAAACCTAACTTTTCTTCGGTGATAAGAATATGGAAAACCTTCATGCCAGATTCCTATCTCACTGATGCACAAGCTTTTGGTGCAAACACTGACTTCAAAAGCCTTATTTCTAAATGTAGATGAATGAGTTTATTCCTGCAACAATAAAAAGAGACTCGTTTCGAAATATCAGTTTTTTTTTTAATTTCAAAACTCGGCTAACCAAGGAACTCTGCCATTTCTAATGTGAAAAATTGAAGAATGGGTGTTAGCAAAAAATCTGCATTTCGGATAAAAGCGTGGATACTTTGTGCTTCCAATGCGAAAACCAATGATTGAATGTGACTGTTGCACATTCCATTTGTTGAACTTTTAAGCATCACCAACTCTTCGAGGGATTGAATGCTGATTTCATGTGTAAATTCAGAAATCTGACAATGAACCGGGATCTAAGTTAGGGTTGAATGCATTAAACTAAAATGTTGACCTTTTTAGCTTCATTAAAATCTTGAGGTTGTGGAAAATAGATATAGGTATTCAAGATATAGTATCAAGAGAGACTCGTTTCGTATCAGATTATTGTATTTCAAAACTGCCTAATGCCAACGAACTTACATTTCGGCTACTGAAGGAACTTTTGCTATATCCCTTCCGGGCAGAATACGGCGCTACTGTTCCTTCGAATTGTGGTTCATGTTTGCCAGCGGCCATTCATCTCTGGATATATATTTTTCCTGGTATCCTAATTCTCACGGAAATGGGTGCAAGGTCGAGTGAAGTTATTTCCTAGTTTCTGCTTCATACGTGCTTCTTTGGTTAAACGTGACTGATGGGGTCTGCTGACACTAATGTGCGTTTGTATCGGGTGGCACCATTGTTTGCCCTTGGTTCGCGAGAATATGGAGAAACTTAAGCCTTCGGAGAAAAACATGACTCTTCACGTTCTGTTAATACTCAATTCTAGAAGCGATGCCACTTTTTGGCATCTGAACACCTTGATCCTGCGGATCTGTGTAAAAATTGGATTGCTAAGAAATTAATTCTATTTTATAGACAGATTTCTGCACTGCGCGATTTTCCGAGAAGTCCAAAATTCCGCGGAACCTCCAGCCAATTGACAAGCTTCTTACTTAACCAACAACAAAAAATTGGCTGTAAAATTGGATGTCGAAATGTATTTGTGTCGGCAATTTTTTCCAGAAGAATCATGTGTTCAACGGTTGAACCGAAGAAAATTAGCTGTAGAAATATATTTTTAGCTGCGATGCAAATTACGGTAGTTGAACCTAAGTCTGTATCGTCTTGAAAACAAGCCTCGTGTCAAAGCTTATACAGTTTTTTTTTGGAATTCTCTCTCCATATTTTTGCCATTTTGCATTCGTATTAATTTCCCGCGTGCTGAAAAAAAAGAGGAAAGGATGTCTCGGTATTCTGCCTCACAATTTATGATGGGTAACCATGATAGTCGTTCTACTTACACGCTATTAGATGATTTACAAGCTGTCAGCCGAACCAAATTGTTGCAACGCGTAATTCTTCGGATGAAAAATGCATTGGGAATGTATTCTTTCGTAGAGACAAGATACATGACTTCTCATAGACATGAAAAGTGCAGAATCGAATAAACCGCCTATCAATAAATACCATTGCCGAAAGAGATGGTGGAATGAATTGAACTACGTCTTAAACTTCTGTGGTATACAAATAAACACGATGGTAGCTTCGAACTCAAATAGTGATAGGATTAACTTAAGATGATGAGAAACGTCCCGTTGTCAGCTTGAAATAATCGCTTGCAAAAATGATATTTGACACACAAAAATTGATGATCAATGCTCATCAATTTCTGAGGCATGTAAATTTGTCTTCATTCATCGACTTTTTCAAATTTTTAAATAAGTTCTGGATCAGAGGCAGGATTTGTCGGCGGAATTTCTTGAAGAACTACGTGCATATACTGACGGTTATTGATGAATTACTGTCCAAACCCGCAGCAGAACATTAATTTAGACTGACTTAGTTTCTCGTATCAAGGATTATGCGAGACAGATCTTGATTTTTAATGGACTGCATTTCGAGTATTTTTTTCAAATCGAAGCTTACAACTATTATCCCTCTCATTCCATTGATGGGCGATATTACTTATATTAGCGATTTGTATCATGCATTGAACAATTTTTGCATGGTAATGATCACCACTCTGAGATTATCCGACCCGACGATTGGACTGATAAGATGAACAGTAGGTGACAAAATCTGTAAAAAAAAAAATCGTTGATGTAGTCTTTTTTGGTGTAATTGACATTTTACTCTTTCAGTCATGTGAATCAAACTTTTATTTAGTGTCTTTTGTCGGAATTGGTCGAAGGAAAGAAGATAACTTCAGTGAATGATCTTTCTTGGTCGTATGAGGTAAATTAATTCAACCATATTTCTTATACATTCCTCGATATGTGATTCAAATTTGGCAAAAACTTTGTGATTCCCTCCTTTGTTGTTCAACGAAAGCCACATTACTGACTTTATGCGAATTCGGTTTCTTATTTAACACCCAAATGCCACACACTGCAAATGCGATAATGTCTGACGTGTATTTTCACCCAACATCGTCAGTAAACTCGACACCTCGTAAATGGTTAAACTCGACACTGCGAGTTTGCCCCGGAAATCGCTTGATTTAATCCGCGATCATTTGATTCTGTCTGGTTATTACAGTATGCATTTTGAATGTTTTTCTACTGTGCCTGTGTGTATGAGTGTATTTTGATAATGCAAGGGGTTTGTTTCCATTCGTTTCCAGGCAATAACCAGTCCGCGTGCAAGGGAGAACCTGAACCACGGCAGGGGTCCGATCCCGAAGCAGTTTGGCCGGGGTTGGTCACGAAGCTTTATCAAATCTTCCATCAGCGGGGACGATGTCAGTGGGGACTGGACCAGTCGTGGGGTCACCGGAAGCAACTACTATCCACCTCCACCAGCTGGATACAGGTGAACCCTGCTTCTTCTTGCTCTCATTGGCACATATGTCATGGGTCCATTGGATCCCAGACAAAGTAATCGAATTGTACAGCCATCATAATGCAAGTTTTGAATATGAACTCAAACTCTTTTCAGAGGAGTTCATTCTCATTGCCTAGTTCATCAATTGGCTGTTAATTCAATGGTATTAATGGCAGAGTCAATTGTAAGATTGGTTGGTTAGCTCAGAATATTGAATGAGGTAATTGAAGTTAAAAGGCCCTTGAACACTAGGTTCTGACTTCTCCTCTCAAAGAGGAGTGAGGGTTTTTATAGCCAGGTGCTTGGACTGGGTCAGGAAGAAATCAGGTGATTTCTTCCTTGTTCTATTCTATTCTATTCTTTCTTCTTCTTGGGTCTCCTTAAAATTATAGAAAAATTAGTATTTTTGCTGGGGAAGGGTAAGCGAATTGATGGAAGTTAAAATTGATTATGTTTGGGTCATGAACTGTTGGGTAAATGCTTTGGCAGAAGGCTGAATTCAAAGACAAGGATTTATTTGCCTGGTTAGTCGTTCAATTCATTTTTGACAAACGTCAGGTTATATTGCCAATTATTTTCTCTTTCCTGGTTCCACAAAATATTACCTCAAAGACGTTCAGAAATTCGGGAAAGAAATGATATGTTTTTGGAAGTTGAAAGTGGATATCTTTTGGGCCTTGAAATGTTGTGGAAATGAGTTCACGAGATGCTGGATTTGGAGGGAAAAGGTTTATTTGTCCAGTTAGTTCTTAATTTCCTTTTGAAAAGCATCGGGTTATATTACCATTGCTTTTCTCTTTCCAGGTTCCCCATAATATTACCCCAAAAGTCGTCCAGAAATTTTGGGGAATTAATAATCACTGGAAGTTTAAATTTTTGATGTTTTGGGCCTTGTACCTTCGGAAAAATGAGTTGACATGAGATACTGGGTTTAGTCAAGAGTTTTTTCATCAAATGGTGCAATTGATAGCCGTCTTTTCCCTTCCAGTTTCTGTCGATGTCCTACCTTCACTATAATATCTCGGAAATATTTATATATTGTAGTAATATTATATATTTAAATATTGTAGTGCTTCAAATTTGCTGACTCCCACTGGTGTTACTACTTTCTCTGATCATCGCCAATTTTAACTTGATAACCTTCGTTGGAAAAAAAATCGAAATTTTAATGCAAAGGAAAATGATTTTTTTTTCTTCTATAGCGATTAGCGAATGATCACTGAATTTGTTTTATCCCACAGATCTGCTGATGATTCGGTTGATCATCCCGGGGCAGTGGAAGGAGAAGATTCAGAACTGGCCGGGCTCGATGACGAGCTTTTCTTCGACAGATCTTTCGCCGACGGCGAGGGTGATCAGCCCGATGTCGGAGAAAATGCCAAGCGCGGACTCAACAAGAAATGTGAAAGGTAATATCCAAAGACCGATTTGACCAGAAAATTTTTTACCATTTCACATGCAACGAGCTCTTTTAAATCTGACACCTGAAATATGAAGTGTGGCTCTCAAAAACCTAATATGTTTCTGTTAAACTCTGGTTGTTGGGAATCATTTCAGATATATATTCTGGTACAGTATCTCTGAGAGAAGTTGTCGAAAAACTTCAAACGGCCATATTTTTAGATGCTGAATGCTTCTAAATAGACAGCATGATTCAAAAACATTTGGAACATCATACTTCCATGCACGAATGTAATTCTTCAATTTAATATGATACCGTTTAAAATCGATCAGAATTTTTCGTTCCATTCGGCAAGGGACACGATTTTTGATTAAAGCATAAATAAGATAGGACCAATTTTGAAGGAATGACACGAATTTAATTGAGGCTGGCATTTTACGAGAACCTGCACGTAAATTTTATGCAATCGTCATTTAAATAATTATAATTTCATTGAAGTGGTTGCGTGAACCTCCGCCGATGTTTGAAAAGTAACCCATATCAAACCTGAGCGAATCGTGTTTTAATTCTTATACTGTATTGGGAGGAAGTCTGCACATTTTCTTGACATTTTAACAATTCCGTAATGGCTTTTGCGATGATGGTAATCGATTTTATGGTCTTCCGAGGCTATTTGGGATGCTATTTCGAACCGTGGAATATAATTTGATTGCCCGTCAATTTTTCAGGAAATGGGCAATTTTTCTTTCTATTTTACGCAAGTTCGGCGTGTCGAAATTTTAAAATTGCACCTCATTTCACGGTTCACTCGTATTCCCTAATTTAGTGCTACTTGAACTCTAAATTATCTGCATGTGATATAGTTTTCCGATTGCTTTTTCAAGCCATTGACGAATAGTCCTTAAACTGAACTTTGCAGATACTGTATTTTTGATAGATCGCAATTTTTAATCGGGTTCTTGAATAATTCAATTTAAATTTTGATATTTCCCCTTATGATTCGATTTACAGATTCATGTGCATTTGTCCTTGATTTGAATCGTTCATATTGTTGTTAAAATGTGAGATTCGTTTTTAGGAAGGGGTTGATGTCTGATGAATTACCATGACTGCTTCATTTATCATGTAGCCCTCCACTTGTCCACGTCGGAATATTAGTTACCTATTATTCTGGCAATGAACATATGTACTAAAATTCTATTACATTCACTTACAAAAGTGCATTCGTCAAGTTGCTAGTCATTCATTTAATCTCAGAAATTAAGGGTTGCAGAGATTGTTATGCATTCACAGGTTTGGTCCATGAAGTGATTTGCATTCATAGCGCATATTTAATGTCCAGAAAATGCTCGTTCAGCAAGGCTAAAATTGGTACGAGTCTAATGTTCTAAACATTTTGTGGAAAAGGTGACCAAAAATAGTCATCCACGCTCGAACTTCGCGTGCTCCTGTAATTTCATATTTTTCTCATCACGATTTTTTACAGTACTGTATTTCTGAAATTGTCTAACCTGATGAACAGTATTATTTGCTGGTGATTCGAAATGCTGTACCAAAAATCTAACCGGTTTATCAACAAAGAAATAGCATATACTTAGCGTAATACAGATAATTTGATAAATCTTTGTTAATGCTTTCAGTTTCACTCTGCAGAGCGTTAGGGAAATACGAAAGTATTTTTATCGAATTTTATTTTCCTATGTACTGTGTCTTCAAAAATGGCTAAATATTTTTTGTTTTTTATGCAAATTTGACGATGAAAATAATGAGTTTTCGTGGTATTAGATGACGTTTGCCGCAAAATATTACTGTAAGAAATACTCCCTGGTTCTTGAAAAAAATACGAACATAACATTCTTTCAAGTTGTCTCGGAAATAAATGGCAACATATTTTCAAATAGCTGTTGGGGTGCTACCAATGTATGAATAATTGTACACTTGTCACTCAATGTACAGTAGTGTTGTGGGTCTTCTACAATGTAATGATTTTGACAATTCTGATTTTTTTTGTGTTTTTAAAGATAGAAAGAGAGAGCAGTTTATGACTTTGGTCCACCCCTTTGTAGACAATTTTTTCCCCTATTGCCGACGGTTTTTGAAAAGGCTTTCATACTCCAACCGACAACTGCGTGCTTCTCAGTGCCTTAATACACGGAATCCCGTGCTTTGAATGGACCAATGCTACTTTTCTAAATAGAGAAAACTACTAAATGCGATGTATACCACGTGTTTCGTTTTTGTGCTTTATGGAATTGCAGAACATCGGCTGGGGGTTGGCGTCGGGATCGTTACGTGGACGAAGACGACGACGGGGACTTCCGACCTGGGTCGCGAAATGCGAGCAGGTCATCCGGCGGCGGGTTCAACCGACCCACAAATGCCCTGAGCACTTCCGGTGTGAAGGGCGTCGGCATGAGTCGGGTTTGGCGTCGGGCCCTGGACTCTGTCTTTGACAACTCCGATCGACGGCAACATGGCATGGGCTTCGTCTACCGCTACATCGGGTCAGTCTTCCTCTTCTCTGCTATTCCCTTTTTTTTTTTTTTTTTAAATTGAAAAATAAACTTATGGAGAATAATAGCATTTTTATTTTGCAAAAATTCGCAAAAAAAAGCTGAGATAGCAGCGATGAAGACCGATCACTGCATTTTTTTACGCTGAGTTCATCATACGAAGTCCTGCCATGTTTAATTTAATACGCCAGAAAGCTGAACATTTTCTTTCGTGATTTTATTGTTGGTGAAAGACATAAAGTTTCTGCGTAAATATGATAGCATGAAATATGTTTACATTTTTTTCTCGATTTTCATCGGAAATTCGAAATACAACTGCATCAAACATAAGCTTCATCTCCATTATATCGACGGGGTCATTTAAAAATTCACGGCAGAACTCCGATTATCCGGTTTTGTTATTCGTCGTCGTTTTCGGGATGATGAGATATCAATAATGAACAACATTTTTACTGTAATAAAGGGACATTTATTCTACTGTCCAATTTTTGATTCATTGACGATCTGATGAAAAAGTTTTCGTAATTCCGACGAATCTCGACTAGAAAAATCATATGTATTTACTAAATCACAGGGAAATTGAGGTGCAAAAATTAAAATTGAGCCTATCGCTTTCTTTTTCAATGAAATTCGAGGTACAGTATATTTTAGAGAATTTAGACCAAAGAATAATCCGAGCATACCTGAATTCACTTTAAAAAATTGTACCTTGGAATTTCTCATGCTCATGTGGAAAAAGAAATGGTGGAAAGAACTGGAAATAATTCAAAGGATCGGTGTTTGTCCGAAGGAATTTGAAATACTCATCCAAAAAAAGTGACGTAGCTGTTCTCCTGAATAGTATATGTTCATTTTTAATTTACCCCTGCCTTTTACATTGCATGATGTTAGTGTAAGCAGAAGCTTCTGTCAATACTTTTTTTATGGATCGTATCACGAACATGATTTGCATGACATTGATTCCGGTGTATACACTGCAGCTTTTATTTTTTAGTACAAGTCCTGAAATTCCGTCAGTCCGTGGATTTTATACTCTGAGGGATCCTCTTTTGTTTCTATCAAGTAAAATTGAAATCATCGTGACATTTCTTTTAAATTGTTGATAAAGATGACTTTCCAAGTAGTTTATTCAGTTTTTTCATATTTTCCCAGTTCGTCGTTGAATTTGAGACAGCGGATGGAAGGTATTTTCCCTGCTGAGTCTGCAGCCGTTCTTATTTTTGCATGCTATTTATTATAGTATGGAATCCCCTTGAAATTATATTAAATGCAGTTTTGCTGGACGAAAAGCATGACACTGGTCTTTCGAGGTAGCCATACGAACGCGATTTGTGGTAAATTCAAATTTGATTTTAAATCTTGAGTTTACTGATTTATTTCCACGTACAGTACTGTAATTTTAAATAGTGCATGGAAGTGTCTGTATTTTCCACATAATCAGAGGTTCTGAAGCATTTCGTTTATTTTCCTATCCCGCATGATGATTGACGGGTGAAGGGGATCTTGGAGGAAAAGTGGACGACGGGAACGAAGAACGCCAAGGGACGACATGGACGACTACAGGCCGTACTTCACTTCCTGGGTCACTGCTGTTCAAATCCTCATCATGATTCTCTCAATCATCTGTTACGGGTTTGGGCCACTGGGCTTCACGATAGTAGAGCAACGTGACCTGGTACGATTTATTGCTCACTCAATTTCTCTCCAAAAATGTCATCTCTGTCTTTTTGAAATACGAGGGTTCGCTTTTATTTATTTTTATTTTTTGCTCCTTGAAAATATGCTCTCGCAATACCCAAGTTTCCGATAATCAGAGATATGTGAAGCTTTTTTGAATAAAGAGAATGGAACCCTTGGTTAAATTTTTTGGGATGCACTTTCAATCTGTCCTCTATCAATTTCAGCAAATCCTCGAGGAAAACCTGCGATGTTAGTCAGTAAAATATAGGATATTATTACTTTTTATTATTTCCCTCTGAGTTCATCCGAAATGGTTCGAACAAGGAAAAAACGGGACAAATTAAATGTACGGACCAACCCTCGAATTTTTATCAAGCGAGATAATCGACTTTGAACTGTGACGCATTTTTATTATTACTGTAGCTTATTGCGATGATGAACAGGGAATTCCTTTTTTTATCCTTGTTCATTCGAAAAATCTTCTGGTAGAAGATTTTTCAAGGTTCTTGACCAGTTCAAGGTTCTTGACTTTTTTCTATCAACATATTCGTTTCTCCTCGGCTTTTTTTCTCACTACAAATTCTGAAGTACTTGGTTGCATTTTCTGTTGTGCCTTGAATATATTCCCTCAAAATTCCCAAGTTTCCGAGAATCACAGAAATTTGAAGCTTTTTTGAAGAAAGAGATGGAACCTTTGGTTAACTTTCTTGGGTACATTTTCAATCTTTCCTCTACACATGTCAAAAAATGTTCGAGGAAAATTTGTGACCAGGTCAGGAAACTATAGGATATTATCTTTTTTAAATGTTGTTCCATCTGAATTCATCTGAAAGGGTTCGAACAAGGCAAGAAAGTGGCAGAAAAAATGTACGAACCAACCCTTGAATTTTGATCAGGCGAGATAATTGACTTTGAAGTGGGACGCACTTTTAAAATATTAGCTGATCGCGTTGATAATTCAATTCTAAAGGCATTGTTCATTCTAAAAATCTTTCGATAGAACCAGTGCAGAGTTCTCGACTTCTATTTCATCCGCCTACTCGTTTTCTCCTCGAATTTTCTTCCTCACTACAAATTGTGAAGTCCTTTTCGTAATTTACTGAAGAGTGAAAAGGGGCTTTTTCTCATGATTCCTTTTCCGTAGGTTCGCGTAACTAGTTTGGTGAAGCAAAGTGTGGACTACTGGGAGCCAGCGAACTTCTGGATAGGTCCTCGAGCTGTGAGTAGCTTGTTCAAGTTTATGTATTCGATGTTTCGGGGGTACGCGGGGGTATTCTGGGCAGATGGTTTTGGCATTGACGTCAACTCTCGATGTTGTGTGCTGGAGAGCAGCAGCAGAGAATATACGCATACGCGGTTTCCCGTTCTTTCTCGAGAATTTCTAATTGGACGTCCTTAATTGGGTCTGTCGACGTGTTCACAATGCCGGAGGAAAATTATTCCATGTGCTTCGGAGTTCCGAATCGTTTTGTGTTCAGAGATTTTTTTTCTTTAGATTTATTCGAAGAAAAATGTTTTTTTTTGCTTACTTGAAATTGTCCAGACCTTTTTTGATTCGCGGGGCCGGTTTTTTTTTTTTTTTTTTTTTTAGTAGAGGGAAATCTATTCTTTGGGCCCCTACTTTAGATTTATTCGAAGAAAAATGTTTTTTTTTGCTTACTTGAAATTGTCCAGACCTTTTTTGATTCGCGGGGCCGGTTTTTTTTTTTTTTTAGAAGTAGAGGGAAATCTATGCTTTGGGACCCTATATCTGTGAACAATCCGTTTTTGTGGAAATTAGTTTTGGTTCTTATTTCCTTTCGTATTATTTCTTGTCATCCGCTTCTTCCTTTTGAGTCATTGAATTCCTAATGAAGTTGGAAGGCGGCTTAGAATTTCTGTGAGCTATGATTATTGGTCCCGTAAATGAAAGCTCTTTTATTTATTCCATGCTTTCCCTTGAAAACTACTTTTGAAAAAGCGTTTTCACATTTTTCATGCGCGAATAATGTGCCCGTCTTTTTTCCGAAGGAAATGCCGAATTAATTCAATTGCTGAACAAAAATGATTCATTTGCCGTGGAATGTCAGGCGATTTACCCTTGCGTGAAGGTTCAGAAATATGAGACCTGGGCACTATTGGGTTCTGCAGATAAATGTGGCGGAAAGAATTCATGATCTGAGCCAAAATTGCAGCATACTTTCATCTTTTTTCGGAGGTAGAATCTATATGCTTCTATAAATTTCAGAGGTTGAAGAATCTATATTTCAAGAATGAGCACGGGGACATTTTAGAGAGAAAAAATACATCGAAGACATGAATGTATTCTTTTTAAAAATATGCGACAGACCGTCTTTTGGATTTGTGTAAAATTCTCAAAAATCAAATATCAGCACATAAGTTGCACTGTCATAACTCGATTGATAAATAAATTCTTGCTCTTCAATGCATACGCAATGGGCTTTCAAATCTTCGTAGATGCAGACAGTAGTGTTTATATCCTTCGATCGCTTGGTATCCAAACTTATAGGATTTGAAAAGAAAAAAAAGTCCTTATTGCGGTGAGCTGATGAAGAGCCCCTCGAATTTCAATGCAGCTGCAGCACGTCTAAAGTATTATTCGAAGAAGCTTAGGATTGCAAGATGTACAATCAGATAAATAAATACTGAAGATCTTGTCGCAATGATTTCAATCATGTGTGAGGGATTCTTGATCAACTCCGAACCTTCCCAGAAGTACCGCATTTCGGAAGAAAATCCCATTAGCGTTATTGAATTCCGAGGCCCCCCTCTTTCCAACGGGTACCGGGGACTCGCCGCCAAGAACCCGGCTGCTGGTGAAATACGTGCTATACCCCATCCTTTTTGCAATGTCATCAAAGTCCAGATCCTTCAGGAAAGCCAATGATGGGTTATTGCGACGTGGATAGAAAACTGGGTTCTTCGAAATATTTCTTGTTGCCTGACGAGGCTCGTGTATAGCGTCGGAATTCCCGTCTCCGAAAGCGGCGCGTGGGCAACATTCTGGGATTCCATCCAACGTATTTAAGATCTGTGGGAGGATGCTCTCGAAAAGAGCCTCTTCTTTGCTTTTCGAAAGTATAAGTGTATTACTTAAAAATATTTTACGTTTCATCTATTTGACGATGAAGGACTTTTAAGGAATCGTGGGCGTTTGAAAGAATCATTTATTAAGCGAGGAATGGACAGAACTCGAACAAGATTGACGAAAGTTCCGTTTCAGTTTACTACGGACATTATTTGCTGAAAAACCGCCAGGAAGTTCAATGCCGCCATTTTCCACCTTGATTTCACCTTTTTAAAGCAATTTCATCCTTTTCGTATTTCTGAAGCAGAAGAGTAGTTTTTAAATTTACGAAACGCATATAGGACTCCCATCGAATCAAAATTACATCAATTGTGACTGTTTATTTAAATTACCGAGAAAAAACATGAACCATAAATTTAACTTAGAACTATAAAACATCATAAATTGTATGAGATCAAACTAGTCCTTCATTGAAAATCAAGTACTGTGCCAAAATGAATTCCCTCGGGTGATGGAAATCGGCACCAGTGTTTATATTTTGCACGTGCAATTCATTCTAAATGGATTAACAACTCTCAATAATCCACTATTTGTCTATTTTATTAAGAGATTATGTTAGGAATGAGATGGAACGTCAACTTTTTGCCCATATTTTTTTACGAATGAAAGAAGGCAGATTTAGGCTTCGTCTCAGGTCTAGGCGATCAATTTTGTGTAGATACTAAATACTGATTGATTCCCAATCATCCTGTGCAGAAATTAGAAAACCGCTTGTTTCGAGCTCCCGAGTGAAAAGAAAATTCCTTCGATTTGTACATTGCACAAATTATATTTGCGTGGAACAAAGACTTCGTTTACCCTGACATACTTGAAATATTTTTACTGCTTGCAGACGCTAAATTAATGTTTGTTGAGCTCCTTTGCGGCTACAGTAAAATCGCATTAGAGAAAAGCTGTAATGTTTTTTTTTTTTAGCATAATACATATTTTTCCAAGTTCTGGCAGAAATTCTATATGGTACATTCTATAGAATGTCGTTATAACAAACTTTTCATTTCCAGTATCACTTTTTTGAGGAACATGTGATTTTCCTGACTAATGTATATGCTGGTTTACTTTTAAAATATATTTCTTGTCAATTATTTCGAAAATCTTGGTAAAACAAATTATTCATTCTAACAAACGTATTCTGAAGTCCCCGCGAGTTTGTTGTAACGAGATTTTATTGTATAATCTCTGTTTGGAGAATTCTTTGTTGATCCTAGCTGTTGATCTCGAGATTGAAATTCTCGAGATTTAGTCTGGGAGGGGAAACTTCGTGGTTAATTGAAAGCCGGAGACGGAGCGAAAACATTACATCTGTAATTATATTATATTAAAATGCAATATCTTCTTCAATTGAGAAATGTGCTGTACGTTGAAGGAATATTTTTCGAGCAATTTATGACTATTCCATTCTGTCGTTTTCTATTTTCATGCTGTGCAGTGGGCACGAGGACTCGGAGAAAATGCAATATCTTCTTCAATTGAGAAATGTGCTGTACGTTGAAGGAATATTTTTCGAGCAATTTATGACTATTCCATTCTGTCGTTTTCTATTTTCATGCTGTGCAGTGGGCACGAGGACTCGGAGAAGAACTGGTATGGAAAACATTTCGAAACATTTAGCATGCTCCTTTTTCATGTATTTTTTTGTGTGTGGCTTTTTTGGAGTCAGTGTTGCCTGTATGCTAGATTTTGATTCTTGGAAGTTTTTTTTTTTGGGGGGGGGGGGGTTGACTCCGTTTAAAAGAGACTATTGTATTTTTGATTTGTGGTCGGGTTATGTCGGATGGGAGACGCTTGATTCGTATTCCTCGTCTGCCGAAAATTTTCATTTGATATTAGCGCTGGTGCCAATATGTAATAGGATTTATAATCCTGAGCCAATCGTGCTCCAATTTCAACGATGTGTCGTTTGTTATTTGATGTAGTCATTACCTGTAATATTACGTACCTTTTCGTCCTTCAAGAAAATGAGTGCAAAACTGAGGCAGGAGCGAAAGCTGAATTCTGTGAATATGAGATTCATTTCCGCTTCTTCGCCATTTTTTTCGAAAAGTGTCATAGAATTCTTTTGGAATTACTGTAAAAGAATACAGTGCATTATTACTGTCAACTGGGTGAAAGTGTTGCCGCTGACATGAATATTCAAGAAGACACCCAGTATAAACCTTGTTTGAAACGCATCGACTATCCCTAAGAATTTCAGTGTCAACTTCGACTCTAGGGTTATCTTTCCATGTTTGTGATTTTCATACATACATACATGCATATGAAACTGAATTTTTTTTTTAAATCAGACGCTACCCTTGAGACAGTATTATTTGCTCTGAATTGACGTTTATTTCAATTTTATCGCTGTAACCTTTCAGGTCATGCCGAATATTGTAAATATGTATAGTTGCTATTGATTGCACAGCAAATACCGCTCATATTGGATCTTTTGCATTGCAAACTTTTCAGATGAACGAACACTGAATTGCATAACGACCGTTTCTGTAGGAAAAACTTTACGTAACATCATAACGTGTGCTTACGAATGTGGCATTCTCATCTAAATTTTAACGAATATGCACGTGAATAGGAATCAGGAATAATTTGCTTTTTGCTTATATGTCGATGTTTTCATGGCACAGTATTTTCAAGCTTCTTGATGTCTTATTACAGTAAATTTGGAACAATTTCAAGCATTTTTTCGAGGAATGTAGTTTTGGGGATGATTTCTTTTCAATATTCTGAAAGAAATTATATTTTTCGTTGCAGAAATAGTGCGTTGCGTAACGAATTGCTGGAATAACAATAACCAGTCGAGGATTGAGTTGAGCTTCTTATGTAAGGACCGTAAACAGTATTTTTTTTAGTCCATCTTGAAAAGTCCGAGGACGAAAAATACATTTGCATTCAACTTTTCGAAAGATATAAATAATAATAAAGCTCGCGTGACAACAGCTCTCCAAGCAGAGCTTAACCCGGTTTTAAGTGCGAACAGTACCGAAGGCATTTTCAATGCTTTTCGCAGCAGAGAGAGAGAAACCCCTTTTCTTCGAAGCCTTGACAGTGCAGTCGAGAGGGATCGCTTTCGAATTCCATACCCGGATAAGTTCCCGGGAAGTTTGACGAGTTCGATTCTCCGCTGCTGCCCTCGGCACAAAAAGGCTGACGAACTGGGTCAACGGCTGATATCCCCTATTCACGCAGACAGCCATGGGGTTGCAAGTAGCGGGGGAAGAGGTCAACTACATCACATGCAACTAAAATTGGCCACAGGCCAGCAGAAAAAGAAAAGGTCTCCCTTTTTTCCCGTTAGTCTGCCTTTATCAGGCAATATCCATCCTTTATCTGTATATAAGGTCTTGGATGAGGAGAACATCCACTGCGGCCCAGGGATTTTCCGAATAATGGAGAAAATCTGAACTTTTCACCGAATTTTACGCTATTAAAGGCCGCACCTTAATTTTTTTTTCATCAACTCTTGTTTTTTTTTAATGAACTAGTAGTTGGTCAGCTATGAAATGCTAGCAAAATTTAAATTTTGCACAGATCAAATTGAATTCGTCACCGAATCTTCTGGACGATCGCCAAATCCGAGAAGACTTTTCAGTTCATTTCTGTCGCATTTTACTTCAATTGGATCTTTTTCTATTTGCAGAATATGGATTACGTGCTGCAAATTTTTTCACAGCCATTTATTTATTGAGTAGATCAGTAGAGTGTACTTAAATCACATAAATACCATATTTTTTATCACATATGTCACCAGGCATGGTCTAGAACTCCAGAGTATGGCAGGCATTTTGCAAAATAAATGATCAAATATTGGAAAATGCATTTTACGAAGGACATCTTCCTATCTCGTAAATTAGGTTGGGGGAAATATCTGTGAAAATCGAATTTTATAGCGGCTCTCTGAAAATTTGAATTGACGTTTTTCAACGGTGGTTGCAATATTTTCGGATTTCTTTTACAAGGACTTATTGTTCCTCAATTTTTGTTAACTTATAAGCTGGAGAATCAGGCGGGAGAAAATGCCTTCTTAGTTTATGAATGTTCATGTTCTGTGCTTTGATCGAGCCCCGTGATTGCTGAATTGTTTGATTCATATTTAATGTGCACCACTGCTTGAAATTTCATGTACTCTACTTTTGATCTGCCGAGCATCCCGGAGTTGCATTACACTCCTGGGTCCCATCAAATTTTCCAATTGGGGAGACAGATGGCGGATTACCGCATTTTGTGTCAGTGCAACATTCTGGAACAATGAGTGACTGGGCCATAGCGTGACATGCGTGAACGCGTTGTACTAATACGTGCAAAAAGATAGTTGGTTGCAGGAATAGCCGAAGAAGTCCACGTACAAAGTTCCTAAGGAAAAACTATTTAGAAATGAGCCAAGAATATGACTATGGCGCGACATGCGAAACTCGGGGATTTTTGTTGCCACTACGTAGGTGTCGCTTTAACTTGTTTTCACGTTTTCTGAGAAAGTTTTCCGAACTGAGAAAATGTGACGCGTTTGCTTTGTTTTGGCCTGTTCACATTTTCTTGACTTAGATCAGGTTTGTTCGCTCAGTTAGTCTTTTGATTCCTATGCATACGTTTTTTTTAATTATTTTTGATGATTAGGTTCGCATTACATTTACACAGAAAATCAATCACGAGTAATTTGAGCTTGCGTGAAAAATATTTTTAGATCCAAAAAAGAGAGAAAAATGAGTCAATTTCTTAACGAAGTATTTTTGAGAAAATTGAATCCACCGTCTAAACGTGACAGATGTGAAGCCGTTGGATCTAGTTCTGATCATGATATTCCGGATTATTTTCCTAATCCTTTTCACCAGCAACATTAGACTAAAGACCTATTATAAAGAACCAACTACAGTATGAGCGAATATAAAATTCTTCAAAAAATAGTTCCGTCGTCCTTCTGCAGATGGCGTGAAAATGGGTGCTCTTTTGCCTGAAAGAAAATCACCAGGAGAAATTCTCGGTGGTTTTCTTGACGTATTGTGCGACACCTGTCAGATATAAAAATTTAAAAAAAAAGTTGAAGCGCTGAAATGAAAGTAGCAGAAATATGTTTGTGTCCGAGATTGGGATCTCATAGGAACCCCGTACATACTAAGCCCCCCCTTTTTCCCATCTTCTATATACTGTATATGAGCGTGTGGCGAGCCTTTATTTAGTTCGTGTTCGATCGAACCCCCGCCAAAGTAAGCAAGAGCCTGCGTCAACGCCTTCCTTTCCTTCCTCCTTTCAAAGTCCCTGCTTCAAACGGCTGAAACCGGCACGTGTCAAGCATTTAGTCACGGGCCCCAATACAAAATAGTAAGGCTGGGACGACGAGCGAGAATGCGCAGGTTGCGGAGCGTGCACAAGGTTCCGCTGATGCCCCGCGGCTGCTAATCTTCTCCGAGAGAGCCTGTTTGGCCAGACGACGGGGACCTGGGTAAAGAGGGGATACAGCCTCATGCTGCGTTGCACGAGATGATGTTTAATTATTTGGCGCATTTGTTGCCCTTCGCTTCCTCTTTGATGCATGCGTGCATGCATGCGAAAGCCCGATTGAAAGAGAATAACGGGTTTCCCTCCAAGTCATTTCAATATAATGTATTGGACAGTGGGCCCGTTAGTTAGCAAACGTTTGCCCTCAAAGTAAAATTCCTTGGTTAACAAACCCAAAATTCAGTTGGCAATTTTTCTTCACCCAGGGAAAAATTCCAAATTTTGTTTTGAGATGACATTGAACAGGAGAGCGTAACTCAATTGCAGTTTCAATGGGTGAATGAGACAGAAGAAATTATTTGGGTTTACTGGTATTAAGCTGTACCCTATTACTATAGTGTTTACGGTCAATCCTTTTCCACTTTTCGTGGAAATTCGATTTGAGACCATTTTCTCGTATTTCCCGAAAACCGTTTTTCTGCTTAATTTTACGTGAGATGTCTGCGGAAACATTTCGGGAAATATCGGCGAAAGGCTCTGTATTCTTCGAAAAAATTGTTTGATTCCCGGAAGTGTTTTTTTTTCCTGCAGGTATTTGTGTTCAATTCCTTTGAGAAATTATTCCTTTGTTTGCGGGATTGTGAAGAAACGGAACGAAACAGGTTGACGGTAATGAGCTCGTTTCGAACCTAGGTTCGCCAAAAGTACTCGAGTAAACGAAACGTAAAGGTAGAAGAAATTTGCTTTGATCCCTGGGCGACCTTTGATCTTGAAATGGCGTTGCAAGACATGAAATTCAAGAATTTATTGGACGAGACTGCGGTTTAGCTTTCATCATGGTCTCCTCATATTTCATGAGGATCCTTTCGTGGCGTACTCCTATTTTTGTCGGTAGAACCGAGCATTTTTTTTTCTTCGGAAACCCTACATCTATCGTCCGCAGGTCTCAAGCAACGAAGCTGGATTCAATTTTCTTGGCAAATATTTAATTAAAGGGATGAATACTTTTCCCTCTATTTTTTTCATTGAAACTGTATTTTATAATGAAGAATGGAACTACTGTACTTTCGAAGCAGTTTTCTACGTAAATTCACTGCAAACCTGCTCGTCGAAAAATGACCACGGAACTCTTCTGATGCAGAGATCAAAAGACTAACTAATTACATTGAAGAAATATTCGCCTTTCTCTGCTGCTTCCTGTTGATATAAACATTTCTCGATTTTTGTCCTTCAGAGAAGGGTGCGTTTCTCCGTGAGAATTTTAAATCTTGGGATATTTCTTGCAATTTCGAACGTTTTTGAAAAAAAGCTGGCCTCCTATGTCTTTCATTCATTAATTTAAATTGTTCTGCGAGTCACTTGTTAATTATTGTTTTCACTTTCGTTTGTGGTTCGTTGGTCAATCAACATGTTTTTCTTTTCTTCGACGTTGACCAGTTCGAAAGCAGCTTGATTTGTGCACAGGAAACGCAATTGATCTAGAAATATTTTCAAAAAACAGTGCTGAGAAAAATCAGAAAACTGTCAGAAAATAAGCTGCAGATTTTTATTTCTTCGAAGAGATTTCGTTCGGTTTCTTCGAGGAAAACAACCTTACAATTTACTAAATGAATTTAGTGATATTGCGAGTCCTTCCCGAATTGATGTCTGATTTTAACCCATTAACTGCCAAATTTCCTTCACTCTATTGTTTCATCGATTCCACTTTAATATATCCTATATCGGATGGAACAATTTCTATTTTAATTTTAAGTCAATGTTTTTTCAAATATTTTACAAATGATCCCCAAATGTGGCTCACGGCAGGGAATGGGCTAATCCTATAAGTTTATCCTTGTAGCAATATCTCCGTTATTTGTCAAATTTACGCGAAACAGCGTTACTGTTATTTACAATTCTGTGGTAGCAAAAACTCCAAAATTTGAAAAAAATATAATTACTTCCAGCTGTTGAATTAAGCAGTGGAATCTAAATGATTTCGTGAATTCCTCCATGATTAATGTGGTCACTTTTTAATCTGCTATACAGTACAGCCATCTTTTTCGAGCGTTATTTCCGTTACTCGGAACGAAAATTATACGCGTTGAGAAGCAGTATGCTCACGTTTGCGTATAATCTTCGAGCAAGGGTCTTCTGAGAAAAGCCTGTGTTGGCGGAAAGAAGAAAACCAAAAGACCTCTGTTTCTTCTGTATCTCATATACCGAGGAAACTAAGTAAAGGAGCGGAGTTCCGGCCAGAGATGCTCAGTATCGACGAAGGAGAATCGTGAATGGATTGATCTCGGGGTATAGACGGTGTCGGCCCCGGGAATAGAAATCAATCAAGTCTCCTCTCGCAAGTTTCGCTAGCCTGGTGCATTGATTCTCTGCGGGGTTTTGTCTCAAGGCAGTCCGGAGAATTGTACAGTACAGTATCTCATTTGAACCCCAGGACGGAGATTTTCTTTTTTTTTTCGAGCTGGTGGATTTATGCTTCCCCTCGCCCCCCGGGGTTCGATCCCCGAGTAGAGTACTGTACAGAGTACTGCATGTTTCAAAGCAGAACAATTTTTTTTTGCGCAGCAGGAGTCTGTCTCTATGTGCTTCTCAAATGTTTGACAAGGTTGTCTGTCATGCTTAACTCGATTTCCCCGAGCCGAGAACAAAGACGCGAGTATATTGATCATCACGTTTTCTTGAAATTGAGGGATCAAGAGTGGAAGAGTGGGGATTTCCTCGATGACCTGAATTGAAATTTGAAGGGCAGCCATTTTGATTATTTTCACAGCATAGTACAGTATATATTTCGGTGAGAAATTAATAGTTATCAGTAGTGCTGTACTGCAGTTATTGTTCAAATCTCTCTTATGTGTACGAACACGAACTGCGCGGATCCTCGGAAAGGAAAATGTAAAACTATTTTGCATGTGTTTTTCAGAAATACTGTATTCGGAAATTAGTTTATCTGGATGCGTATCAAATTTCGTGCTGGAAGCTTGGAAACTATAGGAGTGTTGATTTAAATCAGAGGACCCAATTTTGAACATGTCTTTTGTTTTGCTCTGAACTTTGTTCTCGAACTGTCTTTCGTGTCGATCGGCCGTTTTAACGATTTTGCAACTTGAAAATATCGTCTTTCTCAAATCTTTTATGAAGGTCGTCGGGGTTCACAATGAGAAAAACTGAGTTATGCCTCATCTACACCTACGTGGTCAGTATTTTGATTAAAATCAGTTCTCCGGGGTAAAGGCCTCATTTTTGGTGCTAACAGCTTGAAAACTACGGATATTTCATCAGATGAGCCACATTTAAGCCTGTCTTTAATTTTGCCATGAATTTCGTTTGCGAAGTGTCTTCAGTTTTAGTACATTTTGTTAATTGAAATATTGCCTTCTTCAAGTCTCTGTAGTAATGAAGGTTTCCAGGTTTAGCGTTGAGAAGCACTGTCTCGTCACTCAATCTCATAAATCAGTTTTTTGAATAAAAGCAGGTCATCTTGGTAAATACCCAATTATTGGTGTTGAAGCCTTGCAAACTTGGGCTCGTTAAATCAGAGGAACCAAATCGAAACGTGGCTTTACTTTTGCTCTCGAAATGTCTTCAACGGTCGGCCGTTTCAATTTTTTTGTAAATTGAAAACATTGCCTTCTTCAAGTATCTATAGTGATGAAGGTTTTCAGGCGAAAAGCATTTTCTTGTAACTCCATCTACGGAATGATATTTTTTCCTCAGTTTGTTGACACCTGACCTTCTTTTTTTTTTTGCACGGGGGGGATTTTGCGGGGCTATGATGTGGCGATTACGCTTTCTCGAGCAATTGGATGGGGAGTAGTACTGGTGGTAGTCGATCCATCTGGTCATGCATCTTCCAAATACCGGTCCTTCTTCCATTTCGTCTATCGGATATTTTTTTCCGATTTTGATTAATGCATTTTGATGATTGTTCCTTCCGGAATGCTTTCCTGCCCGTCTGCTGGTGTTTTTGCGGAGAGGGAAACTATAATTGCGGTTTGCTACGGTTCTTCATTGCCGCATAAGACTATTAGTAGTAGTGTAATGTTTCTCTGTTTTTTGTTTGGGTGTAAAGTGTTATAGTATTTTTTAGTCTCATGAAAACGGATTAATACACTTATTTCCAATGCATGCTTTAGAATATACGTCGATTTTTTTTCCCTGTTGAAATTTGATGCGTGGAATGTTTTCTGAAGGACTTTTTTTTTTTTGCAACAGGACACTATGTCGACGTGGAAGAAATGGTCTCTCATGGATGCCGGACCTGGAGGACGAGTTTCTGGCTCTGTTTGCGGACAGGATCCGAAGTACGTGTGTCAATATAATGCACAACTGTTGGCGAAGTATACTCGTACTTCCAATTAAAGTCCACAAGTATTTTTCAAAGCAGAATATTGAACTTTGCTCGAATTCCCCGTGCCAGAATCCGTTTCCAGCTATTGGAATTATAATGCGAGGAGTGAAACTTCGGTATATTGCATAGATCCCTATATTTTGTCTTCTCGTGAAGAGAAGAGTTTTGTTTTTTATAAATTCTTTCGTGGCTTCGTATTTTGCGTGCCGTCAGTATTAGAATTTATGTTATTCACCAGATTTTGAAGTGTGTATACGAGGAAAACTTGCTGATATGGGTTTTTTTATACGGCATTTTTTCGAGACAACGTTTTGAATATTTTGTGGCCTTCGTTGTGAATTCATGCTCAAAATCCTGACGCGGTCTGCACGCAAAACGTCACCTAAATATAAAACGAAATTAGTTTAGCTATATTTTTGTGCTTTGAAATGAGAGCGATTTTTTTTTATTTGAGGTTTCCAGTTGAATTACTGTTTTAAAACCAGAAAAGTCCGTACTTCTGTTGCCAGCATGATTTCCTTGAAATCTTCCACGATTTATCTTGCATCCTTGGACACTATTCGATGAATTTAATTTTGGCGCATCCTTATTGAAAAGACTGTGTTGGTTGGGAGAAATCATGTACATCAGTACATCATGTACATGATTTCTCTCAAAAGNAACCAGAAAAGTCCGTACTTCTGTTGCCAGCATGATTTCCTTGAAATCTTCCACGATTTATCTTGCATCCTTGGACACTATTCGATGAATTTAATTTTGGCGCATCCTTATTGAAAAGACTGTGTTGGTTGGGAGAAATCATGTACATCAGTACATCATGTACATGATTTCTCTCAAAAGTTAGAGCAACACGTGTTGCTCTAACTTTTGCAGTCTGATACACGACTGATTCATACGACGGAAAAAAGGTGAAAACATTAAATGTGTTTTTGTTTCAACCATTATCTAAAACGTAGAGTAGAGTGCGTTCTGCGCCCTTTTTGGGCCTCTAAACCGGCAAATGTATATAATATTTATTGCGGACCAGCAAANGACTGATTCATACGACGGAAAAAAGGTGAAAACATTAAATGTGTTTTTGTTTCAACCATTATCTAAAACGTAGAGTAGAGTGCGTTCTGCGCCCTTTTTGGGCCTCTAAACCGGCAAATGTATATAATATTTATTGCGGACCAGCAAATTCCCAAAAAAAATTTTGCTTTTTTCGACTCAAAAGAGTTTTGCTTGAAAGACTTGGCAACAATTATTTAAAATGTTTCTGCAAACTTCGTTCAAGAACCAATTTAGCAGCGATATGGTGAAATGTCATCAAAAAGTGTTGAAGAAAAGTTTTTGACAATTCAAGATTGAAATGATTTATTTCAGCAAGCAAAATTTTGTCTGAAGTGTTATTAAGAAAATCCACCTTTGTTTTTCATGAGATGATTATTACAACCATTGTCTTTTCAAAATATCAGATAAAATAATTAGACTTCATTGCTAATTTTTATAAATGAATTATGCTAAAGAAAATGTCCCGTGGACCAGCAAAAAACACCTTTTACCGGCGCTGGTCCGCGGACCACGGGTCGGGGAACACTGGTCAAGACAATAGCAAAATCAAATCTTTAGCTCGTGTTAAAAATGTTCGCACCTTGCAACATGGGTGGATAACTCTGACAGTAACTGCTGGAAAGTTTTAATTTATCATTCTTGCCGTAGATTGTTGAAAAAAAATATTATCCGAAAAAATAATCCCAGAACAATCGAACTTCATCGGTTATGTCGCAATTTTCTTTTCTACCATCGCACACCGACTGTATAAAAATATCAGAGGCCGTGTCCAACTGGGACAATATACTGTACATGACTCATGTACTGTACTGTGAATATTCTTTTTTTCGTCGAGAAATAGTTGGGTCTAAAATACCGTTTTTATTTTCAAATTTATAGCTTCTGTCGAGAGCCGGCATCCGTGGCGCCGTACGAGTGGCCGGACGACATCACCAAGTGGCCGATTTGCCGGAAGCGGATCGGGATCGTGGACAGGCCCGGACACGCCATGGGCGGCACAGTGGACATCAAACCGGACATGCTGTACTCGGAAACGCTGGCAGTGATTGCGCGAGAATTGCAGGCTTCCGAGCACATGGTGTGCGAAGTTATTGGCAAGCCGTGCTGCATCGGGATCCACGGCGACTGTCGCATCACGACCCGCGAGTACTGCGCCTTTGTCAACGGATACTTCCATGAAGAAGCTGCTCTTTGCTCTCAGGTACACAAAGTGCATACATTACGTTTGAGAGAGAGATAGAGAGGAAGCTTTGTGTCATTGGCAAAGTCACGCGGGGTTTCAGCCTTGAAAAGAAGGCTGATAAAAGCTGTTAGAGTACTGTGGAGTACCGTACTCGAGTGCCAGCACACGCCCTCGAGTAAGACGCGCACCCAGGCTTTTTAGTCTGCATTTTTTTGTATTTAATTCTATCCCCGTGTAAGACGCTCAACCCATCTTTAGTCACTCTAAAATTACGATACAAACGGAATTCAAATTTATACATTAGTTGACCCTGAATTAAACTAGTTTTTAGTTTTTTGTATAAAAATAAGTTTTTCTGATGAAATTGGTCAAAATTAGAATTCATTATGATGCAACCTTAACTTATGAAAAAAAATTTATGTATATACCCACCTATACGACGCGCACCCCACTTTTTCCTTTAAATTTTTTTGAAAGAAATGAGGAGCGCGTGGTATTCGAGTGAATATACGGTATATACAATATTTTCAAGATGTGCCAGTTATTTTTGTATGAAATCTCGTTGTTGTTTAGTATGCGCATGGGGAAGTGCATTTAATTGTGCCGTATACGGGATTCAATGAAGTTTTCACAACTGATATATTTACATGTACAGTATATTTACAGATAATAATTACGTTCTGAACTTGAGTCAATGAAACTGTGGTACTTCGTATTCCATGCTTTCTAAACAACTTGCATTCAACTGATGAAGAAATCGAAAGATTAGACTGAATTACGGAACGTTGGAATGTCTTGATTTGTTCTTTGTAAAGTCCGCTTACCATCTGATCAATGCCTCTCACACCCCGTCAGTTCTGGAATATGGGTTCAATCACGTTTCAACGCCTTGATAAAACTGCATAAAGGAAGTTTTCCTGATTAATTGATGCACAATACTGTGTACGAGTGAATAAACATACAATACGAAGAAAATTAAATGCATTTGCTGCATGGCTGATGGTTCGAAATTTTTCTATGAAGATTTTTATTTCCGAAATGAGTGCGTCGATCTTTTTTTTTATTTTCAAGTCCCCGTATGAATTCCCTAAGTAACAATGCATTAAAAACATCTCTAATGTAAAGGCTTTTCCTCTCAAACCTCTGTAGTTTGAATTCTCTGAGGTCTTTTGGATATTATTTTCTTGAAACAGGAAAGGGAGAAGAAATAAAAAAGGAACTCGATATGGTTTTTTGAAAATAAGTGGAAGAGTAGTTGGGCAGAAGAACCCTCGCCTATACTGTACAAGTTCATCATCCTGTCAACTTCATTTAAAAAGCAATTCAAGACCCAGAATATCACCATTTAGAATTTCCTGCAATTCCTATATCTTTCCCAAAGCAAAAATTTGTTTTCCTATAACTCGTATTCTCTCCTATAGCTTGATTTTCTTTTAATTTAACTTGAAGAGGTTATTCAACAGCATTGCTTTTATTTCGAAATTTATAATGATTTTTTATGTTTCCTTTGATGATGATCAGTGTTAATAAACTCTAAGATGGTGTTGAATCGGTTCAGGTGTCCTGCTTGGTCGACGTCTGTGGAATGGGGCCATATATTCTTCGACCGCGAGACGCCTGCATGTCCATATTATTATTTTTATTTTTTTACTGTAACTCGAAATCTCCCTTATATCTTGAATTCTTTTTTGTGTGGCCCCTCATCGAAAGTTGGCTTAAGGAGGTTATTCAATAGCATTGTGTTTTTTTCTCGAAATTTATCATGAATGTTTATGTCCTTCGATGACGTACAGAATTAATACACGATGGTGTTGAATCGTTTCATAGGTGTCCTGCTTGGACGACGTCTGTGGAATGGTGCCGTTCTACGACCGCGAGACGCCGGACCAATTCTATCGGCTGTGGACTTCCCTGTTCCTGCACGCCGGGCTAATGCACCTTGGCATCACCGTCGTGATCCAGTGGTACGTCATGCGCGACCTGGAGAAAATGGCCGGCCCCTTGCGCATCGGCACCATCTACGTCATGTCCGGCGTGGCGGGGAACCTGGCTTCCGCTATTTTCGTTCCATACCGGGCCGAGGTGCGAATAGTAGTAACACTGTACACTATAACAACTTCAATTCTTCGTTTTTTCTCTCTCTTTCTCTTCCAAGTGTATTTTTCTCTGACGCACGATTTATGCATTGATTGTTACCCAAAATACTTTTTAAATTATGGAGGGTTTCACAAAATCTCTGAATTACGAAAAGGGATTTGAAGTGCTGGAGTGATTATATGCAGCTCATAGGCAATAGCTAGGTGGTGCCTCGCAATTTGACTAGGGTTGAATTGCAAAGCAGTCGGTTTCCAAATCAAGGGCAAATGCAATGTTTTCTACATTGTATTTGATGCTTTTGCCCATCGTCTGTGTGGGTCAAATTGCGGGGCCTAGGTCAAATGGCGATTCAATCTATCAGCAAATTAAACCGTTGAATTGCGGTGAGTCAAATTTCAAATTTGAGAGAACTATACAATGCATATTATACTGTATGTCACTAAGAAAAGTGAAAGACAATGTTCTCCTTTGACGTTTTTAATGAGTATACGTCTGATGTATTTTCTCCACATTCAACCTGAATTTTTGCCAAAGCAACAGTCGACAAATGGAAAAAAAATTCCAAACTGAGATAAAATCAGACAACCAGTGCGATTTCCTTCCACAATGCTCCCGTGTATATCAGATTGAAACCCGAACAGCTCAGCGGGAAAAACGAAAACAAAAATGGAATAATTCTAAAGCCGTCAAAAGAAAGGCAATTCAACTTGCTAAACATCTAGACCCTGAATATCCAGATTAAAAGATAGTTATCAATGAATGCATCGACTCGAAGCCAGGCAACTTTCGGTGAGATACGATAATAAGATCAAATATTTACTAATCACTGTAAGGCGGACTTAAATCGTATTAAATTCTAGGCTTCAATTGATTTGTGTGTTTTCTTATGACTAAGATGTACAACAAACCCCGTTGAGAAGTCAAACCCTGTTTTCGAGACTGATTTAGACGCATTGATTTTTGGGTCAGTTAAGCATTGCCGTATTTCCAGTAAAAATTACAAAATTGATGAATTTTGCTCTTAATTTTAATATCAGCTTCGTTTGTAGGCAGGAATGAGTTATTTCAGTTTTCTGAAGCAATAAACTGCTTACAAGCAAGGCAGCTCCAAAAATGTTCGTCTACAGAAATTCACAAATCATACAAGGAAGATTCATTGCAAACTAACGACGAATTTTTTTTACCATTCTGATTAAATTGGGATCTGCTGGTGATTACAACTTATTTAGAGGAGATTCGATTTTGTTTTTATTCAAATATTTATTTTAAGAACGTGGTTCTGTATACGTTTTCCAGGTGAATTTAAACGTGACAATGTGATGATATCTCTTGATATGTCTATTTTTACGTTGTGCGTTATTTATATTTTTCGCTAATTGCTTAAATGAAGTAAAAAGTCCGGCTGCTTTAGTTTATCCGAACTTTTAAAATGAGTCAATACATCTCGAAGTAATGTTCATGTTGCTCCACAATATTGCTGTGAGACCTCAAACTTTTACTTCACCTCTTTCAGCTTTCGTAATTCCTATACTCTTTACCTTGGTAATTTAACCAACTTCGCCTGCAAAGTTCCTTTCGCCGATATTTTTGGAAAATCAGGAGAAGTTTTACTCTGTAGATATTGAATTGATCGTGTTTTCAGGAAGTGCTGCTTCTGGTTTTTAATTTTAATTTCGAAAGACTATTTAATTGGCTGAATATCACGACAAAGTGCAGGTCTAATCTCTGTTTGATGAATTTTATGCTCTTCAATGAGCATGAATGCTTTTCTTATGTATACTATGTAGCATTATTTTGTAGGTTCTCGCGATAAAATATATGTCTCCGTGTTCCATGTCATGGTCGAAATTCGCAGGAAATGGAAGATTATAGCTATGATATTCGGCCCTACGACCGGATGACTTCGCCTGGAAAAATTCGTATGTTACCGATGATTAATATTTCGAAATTCTTTACGAGAATGAAACTATACAAAATATGACTTGTTGAAGTAACGAGATAATGTATCACCGACATTTTTTCGTGTATCTAGAAGAAATTGATCTCCCAGATTACGAACCTATACCTTCATGTATAAGAAAAGTCCTCGATGCTGAAAAGAAATGATCTGCGTCTCGTGATTCGTGAAAATCTTTGTCTGTTTGATCGTGATCACCCTGTTGATCTCAATTTTAAGAAGTATTATATTCAGTAAAATGCCAGTCCATTCGAGGAATTTACAGGGGCTAGAACTAAAATTATATTTTTCCTGTGTCACTGACTCGAAACGTAGCCTCAGCAGTCAATTGCAGTCGTCCCGATTGACTTTCTACTGACGTCATGAAATTGAGGTACTTCGGGTGACATGTTTATCTCTTATAGTCCATGTCCCCCTCAAGGCAGCTCGAGACGTGCCCTCACTTGACCTTGACTGCGTTCCGAAGGGATTCGGTTGTTGGCAGGTTCCATGATATCTAGATTGCACATTATTTTTCGCTTTCTAGAGAAATAAAAAAGGCCGGACTTCGAGTGCGGCTCATGAGCTTGTATATAGCGTTCTTGGGCGCCCGCGATGACAGCCAAGGAGATCTGGAAATTCGTAATTTTTTTTTCTGGTGGGACAAATGCACGTCGTTAAACTCAACGCTGGACATTTCAGCATTTGACATTCGAGTGCCAGAAACGACTCCTCCATCCGAAAGGAAATATATCTTTCGTTCAGTTTTTCCTCCAGAAAAGGGAGGAATTGAACAGCAAGTACAGTAAAATCTCGTTTTAACGAATAATCGCTTTAGGCGAAGTTTTTTTTAGGACCTTGCATAATAGCCACAATTTTGAATGATTTGTTGCATGATGAATTTCTCGCAACAACGAAGCTGTGTCACTTGTCCCAGTGTCTTTGATGTAACGAGATTTTGCTGTTTTCATGACGGCAGTTGAAATTTTACTTTGATGGATTTCCTAGTTGCAGGAAAATTGAAGGGTTAATACAGTAAATGAAACATCTTTGGACGCCGAAAATATAGCGAAAGGTTGAACAGACGAAAAAGCATAGCATATTTTTTTGCGAGAAGATGAATTTTTTCCTGAGGGCCCTGACGATGAAGTGCCTGGTGCTGAGTTTGTTGAAATCATCGCTGGACATCCCAGCATTGGACATATGAGGGCCAGAACAGAAAACGGCTCATTAATCGAACAGCGAATAGATCCTGCATTTCGTTTTTTTGTGTCTTGAAATGGGATAAATTTAATATCACGTAGCATAGCGGGAGGTGAAATCTTAGCGCTCGTGAATTCCCCGATAATAGGAAAAATAAATTTTTCAGAGTACTTTCAGGGGTAATTCAGCAATTAAAAAATCGTCGGACTCTGAAAATGTAGCCAAAGGCTGAACAGACGAAAAAGCAGTGCCCTTTTCAGGAAAAAGATGAATTGTCCCCTGTTACGATGAATCGTCTGATGCGGATTTGACCTTGCGCTCGTATTTTTCCTTGGCTGATGCGTCACCGGGTGGGATCTAGATGAAGAAATTCTGTGTCGAACGTCGACGTGTAAGGAGCTGCTTCTGTTTTTCCCGATGCGTCGACTGTCGAGTCAATAAGAAGAAGTAACTATATTTGCCCTTTATGGATTCCGAGTGGAGCAGCTTTACGTGGATAACGATAAAATTGAGATATGAATGCGCTCTCGAGGCTCTCTACTCAATGGTATTAAAACGCTTAACAAATATTATTCACAAAAATTGTATGATCAAAAGAAGTCATTCCTTCTGTGTGGGAGGCATGAATAAAAAGCAGTGTAACCTTCTGAATAAAGGGCACTTCGCTTGCGATGCTTTGAGAGTCTTCGTGCTCTTTTTTAATGATTGAGATAAACTTGCTTCCTTGAAAAACGTCTCGTTTTCAAATGTTCTTCTCAACATTAAATTTGCATCGGTTTGAGGAACTCATCTTCTCATGAAGAAATGCCGATTATATTTCAACTTCCATATTTCCTCAATTAGCTTATATGTAAATACCGTACTGTATTTGTACTGTATGTTCATTTTTCACTTTCATGAATGCTCCTTTGACTCAATAACCTCGAAACTTCGCGAATTGAATTTAAATTGCTTTTCCGTGGTTTGAACTAGTTACTTATTTTCTTGGTTTCCGCTTATTCGGAAGTTATGTTGGAAGTCTATTTCTTGTCTCCTGCATGTTCGAAAAGAAGTTTCAAGAAAAAATTTCGGCAGTATTTCAAATGCAACACTAAATTTCTGCAGGTACATCTGACGGAGTAGTATTTTTTCTTTTACAATCAAGTTTTCAGTTTATTCCGTTACTGGCCAGACCCCAAAGAAAAATTGATTGCCAGGCGTGGGTAGAATTCATTTAAATGATCTAAAACTAAAAGCTTAAGGACTCTTCACGTTACTGCATTACTTGACTTGTGAGCTCAAGTCGAGCGTCTGCTGTTTTTAAAGTCAATTTTCTCCGAATAAAAAGTCTCAAAATACCATGTACAGAACTCTTTTTTCCAGACATAATTGATTATCCAACTTTGTCAGGATGCCGGAGACGGATTTCAAGTATTTTAAAAAATGAAATAAAAAACTTTCGTATGATGTGTCTTGAACTCTAAGAACATTCCCGATCGTCAGAAGGTTTTCTTGATTATTTTTAGAATAACCCGCTGAAGTCGAATGCATTTTATAGGTGACCGACGGTCGAACATGAAATTCACAAAATTTCCAAAATTGGTTCTCCAACTCCGCGTTAATGTCGGAAGGCACTTTTCCCATGGATTTTAGCATAATGAAACATTGTAACATAATGAAAAAGTGTGGGGGAAAACCCCTGTATCATGTGTATCCGGTACCGAGAAAGCATTGTGGAATAGACTAACTTCAGGTTCTGTTTTTAAATGTCTTCAGAATGTCTTGAACTCAAATTCTGTGGATATTCGAATGTTTAGGATCTGCTGTATCTGTGTAAATACTGTACTACTTAGAATTTTGGTATATTTTTAAGCTGGGCTGAACCGATTTCAATTTGGTTACCTTTTTTTCAAAACAAATTAGATTTTAGCAAAAAGTACTTGACGTCTGTGCGGAGTGTAGCTCCATGTTTTCCGTAATCTTTGCAGAATTTGTTCTCCTACTTCGCCTGGATGTCGGAAAGCATTTGCCCATTCATTTTAAATTTTAAAAGGTCAAATATAACATGATCAAAGAACTTGAATCAGCTGTGTGTAAGCTGTCTTTCATCTTTCATGAGAAATCCCAGCATTTACACCAAGTTGAGTGCGTTGGAAGTGAGTGTGCAGGCAGCTCTTCAGCGCTATAATCCTATGAAAGTCTCTAAAGCTATTAAAATGTCGACAGTAAGAGGCACCAGTTATCGATGTTGAACTGTACTGTGCAAAAATTATTCCGAGCGATGATATGTGTCTAAGGATCTGTCAGAAGCACCATCATACGAATAATGCTGTCGAAATAACATCATCATAACACATTTTCGAAACATTTTGACGCATTTATTTATCGGTTGCTTTAGAAAGGATTCCATGTGAAATTTCCAAGATGTACAAAGTTTTATCCAATTTTATTGAATGCCATGGTGGTACTGTATAAGCAGGAAAGAGTTATTATTCTTCAGCAATAACCTTCGTACATCAGCCACAAAAATGTTGGTCGAAAGAAAATCGCAATCCACACAGGGAAGATTTATGTTGAAGCTACAATTAAATTTGATTTTCATTTAAATAAAATAGCTTTTAGGGATTGAAAATGATTTTCAGGAGACCCTCTTTTATTTTTGAGTAATTTTGAACTCCTTATTTTTGTCTGAATTCTGTGCACAGTATACACTTTTTCTTAGATTTTTGGAGTCATTATTTTGATGCTCAAACATCAGATTCTGTGTTGCTTTCTTCTGAAAATTTATATCCTGCGTTTTTAAGTTGAGAAAAACATTTTAATCAATTTTTCTGGGATTTATTCCTAATTTTTGATGAACTGTAGAACGAGTTGATTAAATTAGATCCCATTGAAGTCTATTGGAAATTCATTCAATCTGACATGTGGATGTTCCAATGCAGGGTCAAGCTAGGTCAGTGCATCAATTCTATGTACACATCTCAGGGTTTCATTGTACAGGTGGTATCTAGCAATTTGACCACCACACAATCCATCCATTCCACAATTCAACTGTCAAATTTGTTGGGAGGTTGACTTGCAATTCTACATCTGCCCAGCAATTTGACCTGCGTAAAGATGCAAAATGTCATATAACAGGCGGTACCTTGCAATTTGACTCTCCTGCAATTCCATGGTCAAATTTGCTGGGAGTTAGACTCTCAATTTGACCTCTGCTGCACAATTTGACCTGCGGAGAGACATGATACGTCAAATGCCATGTAGAAAACATGCCATTTGATGTTGCCTCACAATTCAACCGCTTTGCAATTCGACCCTAGTCCAGCAAAAAATTAGGGTCGAATTGCAAGGTACCACTAGCTGTACCATGTAGAAAACATTAAATGTGACGTTTTCTTACCATATGACAGCTTCACAATTGACCCTACTCCAGCAATGGATTAGGGTTGAATTTCAGGGCACTACCCGAACTCATTATTCTTGTTATTAATATATATTTTTTGCTAATTTCTAGGTTGGGCCGGCCGGATCTCAGTTTGGGCTGTTGGCGTGCTTGTTCGTCGAAGTGATAAACGTGTGGCCGATGCTGCGACACCCGCAGACGGCGCTGTACAAGCTCTGCGCCGTGACCATAGGGATGTTCCTGCTCGGGCTCCTGCCCTGGGTCGACAACTACGCCCACGTGTTCGGGTTCGTTTTCGGGTTCCTCTTATCCTATGCCCTGTTGCCGTTCGTGTCCTTTGGGCCGTACGACCAGCGCCGAAAGATCCTGCTCGTCTGGGTGTTCCTCGTTGCCGTCTGTCTCCTTTTCGCCATCCTCATCATCCTCTTCTACATCACGCCGTTCTACGAATGCGAAATCTGCAAATATCTCACGTGCATTCCCCTCGTCGACGACTTCTGCGCCGACCAGAACATCAACTTTGACAAGAAGCCGTTTTGGTCCATATAAAATGATTTTCTTTTTTTTAATGATGATGATGATGATGATGCGGACTCTTCGGGATGAGCTGTGCGAGAAGAAGAAGGATCCTGTTTCGCCGCACGTCACTTGATCAGAGTACGTTTCATTTTTAAATGTTTCTCTCACGAATTACAGTTGACAAAAATTGAGGGCTCGAACTGTATCCGTTTTTTTTTCATTGAGTAAAACATTTCAACTTTAATTCAAAGAGTCGTTTAGGTCCACGTGATGATATTTCTTCATGTAGATCGGAAACCCCAAGAGCCGCGCTTGATTATTTTTTTGAACTTTTGTTGAAATATTTATTTAAAAGATGACTTTGTTTTTTATAAGTAACGATTTATTCATCGAAGACGTATTCACTCTGCTGAAATTTATCTTGAAATATGCACTATATACTCGTAATCCCACTTCCTTTCGGTGGATGCAATGATGCGTAAAGGCCGCTTTTCCTGAGACGGTTTAAAAATCAAAAGAAAAAAATTAAAAGCAGCATTAATATCGAATATATAGTGATGAAATTGATCGTTTTGAATCCAGAAAACATGCGTAAGGCTGGTATATTTAATTTTTGTGTGAGTGTACTTCCAGCTCTTCTCTTTTTCTTTCTTCCCACCATCAATTTCTTCAATCGATGGTGGAAAAACTCTTCACAACGAAATTATCTCTGCGACGAATTTTCATGGACCTTCGAATTTCGTTGTAGAGAGTCCATCTGTATGTATATCCTTTTAACTAGATTCGAGTCGCAGAAAGAAAGGAAAAATTGAGAAAAATCAGAAGGTACGGTAGTTTTTATGTATTCAAAGAATGAATAAAAATAATTAACGTGGAGAAATAATTATTATTTCTCGATGTCCGAAACGAAGAGTTCGTTCATTTATTGCAGCAATGGCTCTATGTTAATTCCCTTTTCAAGATTAATTTCTGGGATGAAAAACAATGAACCTCTATAAGTACTGTATATGCTGAAGAATCGCTATCCACCCTAAAATTTCCTTTGGGAGCATCTTATTTCCGAATAATTGGCTAAAACAGAATCCTTCATATCGGAGTTCGTTTCTTCTCGTACTTCCATTACGCACTTCAGCCTCGTGCTTTTATTGGCGGTTCTCGTGAATTTTGCACATTTTGCACTTTTTTTTTTGCAGGTGAAGACGGCGCAGAAGACTTCTATTCCAGGTCGAGCAATCCCGTTTCTGTATTATTGGCGAAACCGAGGCATTCCAAGAGTTTGAATTCCCCGTCACGTCTTGCGGCTGTTTCCGCTCGGTCTTTCCGGTGTCTTCTGTTCGACCCCCCCTTGTGTGGACCCCGTGCCATGGCGGGGGTCGTTCAATCAAAGATAGCAAAAACGAACACTCGACGGATCGCGAGCATTTCGCATCTTGTCGTCGGACCCCAGTGTGACTTTGTCTCGATTTTTTTTTATTATTATTATTGCATTTGGTTTGAATTTTTTTTCGTTTCTTTTTTTTTTGAAAAAAGAAAGAAAAAATGTCGGTGTGGCACGGTTGCGGTTGGCGATGAAGAATAATATTTGAGGACGGCTGGTTCCTCTTTTTTTCGGTTCCGAAGGAAAAGAAGATGTTGTGACACCCTGAAATTTATCAGACGTTGTTCGATATGATGCGTCAAAGTAGGAAACCCGGGATTATGTGACAAGGACAAAAAGTTTTTGTTTTTTAAATCATTTGCGGACGCTCGGGAAAATGTAGTTGCTGCCAAATCGGGCTCGTTTTTCCTCGCCGTTGTTTGTTCTGAATTTGAGCGACGTTTAAATTTTTTCTGACGTAGTTTTCATCATGAAGATTTTTGTGTCAAGATTTGATTCAATAAGGCCAGGTTAGGATACGCACCAACCAACCAACCGCAAGTGCCATCTCGTTGATGCATGGATGTGATTTGTATACCTATATCTTCAAAATGCATAATTTACATGGAACAAGCCGGGAAGGAGACGGAGAAAACCAAAAATGTTGAACAATTTCACTGTGTTGTCATTTCAATTGTTTTGAAAATATAGACATTTTTGACGTACGGGAACGCACGAAAGTACCAGTAAAGTCGTGCTATAGTATCCCGTAAATTTCTCAAGTTTTCAGCATCTTGTTACAACGATTATAGTCTTCTTGAACTGAATCCCAAAATTTTCAATCCGCAATCAAACCAAATCTTTTTTCTGCATGCGAATTATACAAAGCACTCATGTATTATGAATTTTGAATGATAACTGTTGAGATTACGTTTTACGCGTTTCCAACTTATCCATTATTAGCCTTGAGGTCATCTTTATTTCAGAAAACAATCCGGTGATATCTGAATACAGTGGCCCTCGCATAAGGGATTTTCGTCTAGCAGACTAGAACTGGAGGCAGTTCTTCCTCCCACCCAACAGACAAAATCTGCAAACAGCCTTCTGTTGGTTTAAATTGCTGGTGCTGACAAAAGTTTTACTTTTTTATATAATTGCATTTGTCCAAAGAATGTTTTGCGTAACAGACTTGTCCATTGCACAAATTAAGTCCATTAGATGGGGGTTGACTATACTGACAAAAAGACAGCATTGAATGTCTCCAACGTCTGTTATTGGTGGATTGTGTGGTATATGGTTTTTGTCTTGAAAAATACTCGTTCAAGCATCTGAAGTGATCCAGAAAGGATCATTTGGATGACCTCATTAAAAATAATAATAAACATTCCTTGCAAAACAGTGTATGAGATTTTTAATTTTTTACAGTTCAAAACTTGTTTGACTGTCCGGGAGATTGGACGCATTGTTCTGCAACATCCTGTGCTTCATAATTGGCGCAAAAGTATTTCAATTTTCTAAGAATTAACAGTTTAGAATTAGTGCGAAGATAATCATGCTTCTTGAAATGAAATCGTGAGTTTTGTTGAGCTACTTATGATCTGTGTTTCATGAGGCTGAAACTTCGACGCATCGTATTTTGTAACAATTTCTTTAAATTAGAGCACTAAAGGCTGGCTCACGATCAAAACGTGTAGATCATGAAAAATCGGCACCAACTTCAAGTGCAATTTCAGCACTTTTGAATTGACTTGCCGTCGAACAAGATCGAAGTCGTCGCCCTCAAAAATAGATTCTCAACACCTTTTGTCGTGATCCAGATTTCTTGGAACAGCATTCGTGTGCTTCATTTTATTTATATGTTTCTTGCCGACCCCCGACAAATTGCCTTATTTTCCGCGTAATTCCCCACATATATCATTGTAAACGAGACTTGCACGTATCGTTCGGGCATTGTTGACTCTCGAGTTAGCTTGTGAAGTGCAGCAATTATTAGAGCATAAGCTGTCAGATTGTCCAACATACAGGGTGAGCAATAGAGCAATGGTCGATTTATCAAGTGGTTGCATCTCAATCCAGAACGCTTCAAGTTGTCCACTCCAGAAATGTAATCCCATCTGTGTTTTTTAATCGATATGTGTTCAACAATTATATGGTTCAACTTTTCGGAAAAATTCGGGCATTCAAATCAGATTTTCCCCGGCGAAAACTTCTGTACAATGATCATCGTCAAGAGATTTTACTGTAGGCGGTTTGAAATGGTTTTCCAACTATAATCGTGGCTTAAAATAATACAGAAATTAATGGCAAATAACACAAACCCATTATTTAGATTTTAGAGTGACTCCATTTAAACTAAATTACATGCGATTTTTTTCAAGCAAAAAGCAAAACCAGCAAAAAGTGGAGTGAGTACAATATTTTAAAAATAATGATAAATTCATGTGCGTGTCATATTTCAAAAGCTTTTCCGGACAAAAATTCGACTTCCGGCTGAAATTTTAGCTGAACTGGGCATTGTTAATCTTTCCCTTTTATCGCCGTGTATTAAAATCATTACTCTGATTTGTCATTATTTGTCTGGAAAAGCTAAAACTTCCGAGGAAAATTTCTGAGCTGGGAATAAGCAAAATGCTGTGAAAACAAACAAAAAGCAACTTCAAAGACATGCTGAATGATACCATTCAAGAAATTTCATAAAATTTTCTAGACTGCCAGTGATGATTATAATCCAGTCTCCAATCTTCTTATTTGTATATACAGTACTTGCTTCCTCCCCTTATTTTATCAGAATTTATTCCAACAATAACCCATGCAGTGTTTAATAGTTTCGGAGTTCGGTTTTTAAATATTTTTGTCTCCATAATCATGGTGAATATCTTTGTCAAGGAAATAATGGTACTCGAATAAGTGCCGTAGATTTGAGGAATAGCTTGAGGAAATATAGCACCTATCTTTTTCGGAATATGGAACGTAAACAATTAATAGGTTCCGGCCCATAAAGGCAGAATTCAGCTTTCATTTTTTTAAGTCCATCCAGCTTCAATGTAAATGAATTGATTTCTGGTTCAATATTTTTTCGCTGACCAATCAAAGAAGTAAACCAGATGCTTTCAAAAAACAATTTATCAAAAGGTGATGAGCAGATTTGGAGCATTCATTATTTTATTGCAAAAGATTCTGAAAAGGCTTGAAATTTACTGTATCTAAAAACATTGCTATAATTGCGAAATGTTGAGAGCTATAAACCCAATTAATATTACGGCGGAATCTTCATTTTTCTAATTGTAATCACTCCAAAAGTTTCGTGAAAATTTTTATAAATTAAAAGCTCCTTGAATCATATTAAAAGAGAGTCCGTTGACAAATTTTCATAGCAGGTATATTTTATTTAATTGCAAGTGCTGGTCACAGAACGGACTTGAAAATTTAAAAAGTGATATTATTTGAAAGAATAGGGTCAGGTGTTGCGAATATTTTAACGGGTACATTAAATTCGACACACTAGCTTTAGAGAACCCGAATTCCCCAGCAATTTTAGTCTTTCATTTCTATCTGTGTGGGAATCTTGGAAGACCTTGGTTCCCACAGATGGTCAGCAACCTCCAAGGCTGTAATTTATTACAGATGTTCTTTGCAGCCTCCAAGGCTATATTTTGTTACCAATTTCCTGTTGCCATTTTTTGTCCTTGGAGGACAGTTTTCCTGTTTTCCAAGTTCGACTATTTTTGACACAGTCATAATTGAACTTTCACAAGAGAACGTTCTACAAGATTTTGCGAGTCTGTTGTGAATTCCAAATTATAACAACTTTAAAATAGGGTGTTTTGCACCCTGGTTGTAGCCAGACCAAATTCTTGTGTTTCATTTCCAATTTCAACTTTCAAACTTTCTTTATTAATTCAAACCTTTCCTTTGTTGGGATTTATTCCCAACATCAGGATTGAAAGCGTCATATATTGCTATATTGTCCTGTTGCCGCTCTCATTCTTGATGTTGAATTCTTTTCAATCTTGTGTCATTTCTCAAAACTTGAAAAAATCTCAACGCAACCGTTTATTCAAGTGCACTGTTTCCTTCAGTATCATGTGCATCAAATTATATAGCCAAGGCCCTGCTGAATAATCTTATTGAAAAAAGGTCTCCTTGAAGTTTCCACGCAGAAGTCTAGCTTCCTTATTTTGATGAGATGCGAGCACCTTTTTATTGCATTTTTCATTTTATTTTCACAACATTCAACACGTGTGTACTTTTTTGGCGCAGGTCACGTAACGTCGCATTTCCTGCTGATGGCAACCACTCTCCCAGGAATAATTTATGATTGAGTTGCAAAACAAACGTGTCAATCGAGGCGAAACATTTCAGCCCAGAAACGAGGTACAGAGTTGGGGTTCAATGGCACGATGTTCAAAGACCTCTATGACATTGAAAATTACATTGAATTTAGCAGAAATCTCGCCGAAATTTTTGTTGTTGGGATTCATCGATTGAAATCCATGAAAACTCACGATGACGAGTCATTTTTTCCTTTTTTTTACATCAATACTGTATACAACACGTATATGCTGCATGTTTGTACTAATATTACTTGCTTGTAATAAAACATTGTTGCCGCCGAAAACAACGGTTAGAAAATGTTAGTTCTATGTACATTGTATTCAGATGTTTGCTATGCTTTCCTTTACGTCAAGTGTTCGTTTTCAAGTTGAATAATGAGGTCATTGTTGTTTGATCGATTAAGTAAATTTACAAGACTACAACCTTATATATCGTCCTTGATGCAAAAAAAATACGCAGGGAACAAACCCAAGTCCAGTCTTCGCCGAAGAAGATGAAACACGTTGCGAATCGATTTCATGTCTTGTTCGTTTTCATTGCGAGACTGGCTGGACAGCCTTTGTCGGGAACGAGATACGAAAGAGTGAAAGCCAATTTTTCCATTTCGATCCCGGCGTCGAATTTGATTTGGCAAGGAACCCTCTTCAACAGTCGACATTGTTCGGCCAAGTGTCTAGCGGAAAGGGATTGCTGGGGATTCGAGTATGAAAAATTGGCACACAAATGCAAACTAATGGCGGCGACGTCTCCGACGGATTTTTTGAATTTCACTTTCGATTCTGCTCCTGGGGTTGATGTTTTCTGGTCAACGAAGATATTTCGTGAGTTACATACACACATCTTGAACAAATCCGGATTTCGTCAAGATTTTTATGATGAGTGTTGAAATGATTCAGATGCATACGCAACTGAGATACTTTTACATTTTAAACATAACCTTTAAAAAAGCCTGAGTTTTTGAGGATACGATACCGTCTTCAACAAAATTGTATTCAGGTATGATAATAATTTTATTCTTTCGAAAATTGTGTTGATCGAATCATTTTTGGGACAGACTGATGTTTCGTCAAGTGCCACCCATAAGAGACAGTATTTCCCTATTTTCGGGTTACAAGACTCTCAACTGACTTTAAAATTCCTCCCTATAGTCTGATACTATAACATATTTTAACACTTAATTCTTATTCACTCAACCTTGTTTAATGTTGTTTGTTTAAAGAAATTATTGCCCCTTTCATCATCCGGCGTTGGTTTTGACTCCGGTTTTGAAAAAATATGATGCACTACGGTATTTATTTTGTTGTCGTAAGAATTCTACACCCAACGAGGTAAGTTTTTCATGCACAGTAATACAGAACTATAGTCGTGCGTTTGCCACGAAAAAAAAAAAAACCTGGACTTTTGTATGGCTGTGAAAGGACTATGTTTTACTAGATCAGTGCATTATTCCGACGGGATTGAATCAATACACGGAGACTTCACCAGCGAATCCACAACAAGATTATGCCGCGAAGATGACTCTGAAATGCAAATCCGGCAGTGCTTTCAATTCAAATCAATTGGATCTATCTGGGTACCCAAGCTCGGACGATACGTCCGGGAAATTCAGGTCGTTTGAGTTAACGTGTGGGCTTGGTGGAATATGGAACCCGGCACCCGAGAGCTTGCCTGAATGTCAAAGTGAGTAGCAGCACTAGCAGGCCATCATTTATTTTTTAAGAATCAATCAAAGTGGAAAATTTTATTCATTCACTGATATACCATCATGCATCCCTGTGTTGAAGCGAACCGCATTTTTATGCCTAGAAATTCACGGAGGAGTCCTATATTGAAAACGAATTTGAATGATTTTTGAAAGTCCAAAAAATCGAATCTTAACTCAAATGCTATTTTAACTGCCATGCTTTCGTTATAATTTCCATTTTATGTTTTCTGAGCACAGTACAGAAAAAGTGTTGTACCTGATTTATTTTGTAGCTTGGAAATCGGTCTCACGTGTGATGCCGATTATTTATCCAATAACTATTTTATCTCTTCTTGTACAAAATGTCTGTCGAGTTCTCGAGTAAATATAAATCCGTGTTTCCTCGCCTGTGTAAAACTCATTGAATGACAATAATAAATGACAAAAAGGAAAAGATGTGGGTTGAAAATCTTCTTGATGTAGCGTTTTCGGAGTGTTTGCGAACTTCGAGAGGAAATGAGTTCAAGGGAACATCGTTTACGAAAACTGTTTCCGGACTTTCTTGCATCAATTGGCTCACTCAATCGTACGAAACAGGCTGGATCCAGGATGCGGCTGCTGTAAGTTTCTTTTTTTTTTTTTTACTAAATATGTAATTTTTGAATATTATTCTGTTACCTTGAGTTCCTTCGATGTCTTCAAGTCAATTTCACTGATTAAAACATGGTATGATCCACTACAAAGCATGAAATATTCAGCAAGCAGCAGCTTTTTGCAGTTTTTTTTTCATATCGAAGCTAATCGTTCGTGAAATAACGAAACATCTATAAAACTGCATCATACGCTTACATACTCGAATATCAAAGGTACGTTGTTTAAAAAAGAAGCTGATTTAAACTTTTTCGGATGGATTGCGCCATTTATGCGAATGCGAAATGCAGGTTATCATTTCTGTAGAAAGTGCAGCAATGCTCTCCACTCATCATATGACCAATGTAGAATATATCCTCGATTTAAAGAAGTTGTCTCTGTTGTATACTATTGCACGAATGCATCTGAATTAAAAACCGAAACTGGTCATTCATTGGTCAAGCATACACAGAGTCTTAAATTTGCCAACTTCCTTTTTTTTAGATATGTGTTAGAGACTAAAAAGTCTCCACAAAGAAAATATGAGAAAGATGAATAAAACACAACATTCAGCCTGGGACTGGCTGGGAGCCTCTTTAAAGAGGCCCCAAAAGTATTGAGTGTTTAATTATGTCCATTTAAAGAAGTTGTCTCTGTTGTATACTATTGCACGAATGCATCTGAATTAAAAACCGAAACTGGTCATTCATTGGTCAAGCATACACAGAGTCTTAAATTTGCCAACTTCCTTTTTTTTAGATATGAGGCTAAGAAAGATAGACGTACTTCTTAGAATCATTGCCTTCAGATATTCTGATCAACACGATAAGCGTTTATATAATTTTTAAATCGATTTTAAAGAGCCGATTTTGAATGCAAGCTTCTATGCCTGGATATTATATAGACTAGCAAAGATGAAGAAGAATGCAAGTGAAACACGGAAATTCTATACCGAAGGATAATAGGTATGTGGTTTTCTTATCGTATGTCGTGAAGTTTCCTGGTGGAGCTTTGAAAGATCACGGCAACTACTGCAGGAATCCAACAAATACGAACCGAACCAAACCATGGTGTTTTGTAGCTGATCCGTCCATCGTTTGGGAATACTGCGGAATTCCGCAGTGCCAAGATGCACAAGGTACGAATTGATAATCACTGAGAGCTAACTTATTTTTCCAGAATCAATGACAAATTTTTATAAAGATGCAAGGCACATATTCATGGATACATCGCCCGTATTTTTTTGAGTGCCCTACGCCCATTTTTTTATTTTACCGGAAAAAATTGGATTTGCGTCGTAGTTGAGCATAGATTAAAGTTTGATTTCAAATCTATTTTTCTTATTTGTCCCTTAAAATCCGGTTGCGCATTTAATTTGTGGCTTTGTTGCGTGATGCTTGAGCAAATACATTGTGTCAACTGTGCGCGTTATTTGCGTGCAGTTCATCAAAATACATTTTTCTTCTCCGCTTTTTTTTGCAGTTTCGACTCTAAATTGCAAGTTGGACGCAAAAGGCAGCACATATTTGGGAACCGTCGCAAAAACTTCGAGTGGTTACACTTGTATGCCCTGGCAACAATCCTTTTCTCAGGCAATCGGAGACACGAAGTATATCCCAGATGATGATGCTCCTTTTTACGTCGGAAACCCCTTGAATAATTTTTGTCGGAACCCGAAACAACTCAAGACAGGACCCTGGTGTTGGTACACAAGTACGATCCCTCCCGGGTACACTTGGGATATTTGTACTGTCCCTGATTGTCCGTGAATCCGGATTTGACGTGACTCAGAAGAGAGAATCATGCAGGAAATATAGTCATCAACCTTGCTAAAATCATCGCAATGTATGTCACACTTACCGAGTTTAAAATGTTACATCATCTTTTCGGGATTATGATCACAATAGTACTGAAATTTATTTTGTCACCGAATAGTCTAATTATACCACTTGAAATGCAAGGCATCATGTTTATTCGAAGCGAATAAATTTCGTTTTTGCACGCAAACCTCTACGAGATTCCATTCCTCCCGATATCAATGGATAAATTATGGCATAATGAAGCATCAATCTTATATTTTTCATGATTCGAACCTCTTTCACATTCTTTTTAACATTTGAGAGCATAAATCCCCATCAATAAAGCAGCGAAAATGTGTCTACCAGTGCTTTTTGCAGACGCAAGGGCTAATTGGTTCCAGAGATTTGACATAAACTTGTAAAATTGATGAATTATTAGAATTCCCTGTTGTCATCTAGCTGTTACATATAAGGGTGTTCACAAGACTTTTATAAACTATTTTATCTGTTTCTAAGAATTCCTTTAGGTCATTTTTATGTCCAATTTCTCACTCAATAGATATTCATGCATCGTAAAATAAATTATATACACGGGGACTCTCTCTACAAAGAAATTCAATATGCCAAAGAAAATTAATTATATAGTATAAGAGAACACTTCGTTGCAGAGAGCCCTTGTAATATGGGGAGAGAACCCTCTGGGACCAAAACAATTTCTTATACAGAGAAAATCATTGTAAACAAGATCGGTGGAGAGAGAGAGAGAGTCCATCATTTAGTAAAACTCAAAAATATAGTAGAAGTAGACTGATAATGGCAATTTATTTCTCAATAGACTGATAAAATCTGATGGTCAGATCTGCATCTGACAAATCGTCGACAGGAAGATTTTAATTTGACTTGAAGTAATTTATCGCTCCGGGAAAATGGACTTTTCAATAAGTGTAATCCGGAAAAACTTCAGCAAAGTAACTTTTGTACAGTACTTGTTTTACTCTTTCATTAGCGAGAACCATGTATAAAGCACATTTCGTGCTTATAATCGGGTGGGTTAGTGTCAATAATAACGTAAGATCTCAGGTCGTGCACTCAAGCTCGACCCTGGCTTTAATGCATTTTTAAACCAGTTCAAAAGGGGCATTAAAATTATCAGACACGCACAGCCCACTAGCCTGACCTTGTTTCATGACAGGGGTCCATATTTCTTTTGACTTCATACAATTCTATATCCTTTCTCACGAAAATTGGCGCCCCATCGTGTGCCAACCAGGAAATTTATGTTTGCACGAAAGTCAGCCGCTAACTAATAATCGGCAGGCCTTCAAACTTGCGTTTCTTGAGGCCCAACAGGGACAGAAGGGCGGATAAAACATGGGCTTGAGAAACCAAACTCGTAAAAAGCCATCATGATGGCGAAAGTGTTTTCGCAATGTTTATTCTTTGCAGGAAGTCCCGTGCTGACCACGCTTGTATAATAAAGCGTGTGAACTGGTCCTGCGTTAGTTGACCGCGCGAGTCCGATGAAGTACGCCCAGAAATAAAAACGAAAAAAAACACCCAAGGAACACTCAGGGAATAAATGGCGGAATTTGTCATGAGAAAAATATTAATCGTTTTAGGATTTATTGCTTGTTACGCAACGTCTCTCGAGATTCAACCCGGGAGCAGATTTGAGCGCGTGCAATTGGACTTTGCCGCAACGGTTCCTGCTGCGAACTTGATATGGGAAGGAACTCTGAGCAATTTACATTTCTGCTCTGCGAAATGCTTCACGTGGACCGGAAGAGATTGCTGGGGTTTCGAGTACAATACTAATACTCGAATTTGCAAAGTCATCGAAGGAACATCGCCTACTTGGTACCTTACAGAAATGACATTCACTGCTCTCACTGGCTCTCGACTTTACTGGTCAACAACCACTTTCAGTGAGGGAATTTCTTTTCTTTCTTTTTTTTACTGTCGAACAATAAAAAAAACTGAGACATGCGATTTATGATGCAGACAAATGTGGTGCACCGATGGAGTATAATGAGTACACAACGACGACTTATGCGGATCCACCGAAAACTTATGGAACTAGTTTAAGTGCAAAGTGCAAAACTGGCAGTGCTTTCAATTCTGCTCAACTAGCCAGCTCTAATTACCCCACTACTCACGATACAAATGGTTTATTTAGAAGTATAACGATCACTTGCGGCAGGTTTGGTTTGTGGTATCCTCGACGCGGAAGTTTGCCGGAATGTCAAAGTGAGGTTAAAGCATTGAGATTTCTTCGGTTCTTTTTTAATGATTCTTGATTTTTAATTTGATAATTTAAGCTTACATTGAATGCCTTCGGAGTAATAAGGGAAGTGAGTTTCAAGGAAAAGCTTATACAAAAACCGCAACCGGGAAGGCTTGCATCAATTGGGCTTCACAAACTTTCGAGACTGGCTGGGTTACTGATCCGAATGCGGTAAAAGTTTTCACTTCTTACTTTACACTTGAATTTTCAAACGTTTTTACAAACGTCATTTCATTATAGTTTCCAGCAGGCACGTTGGCAGATCAAGTCAATTATTGCCGGAATCCAACGTTGACCGGGCGAGATAAACCCTGGTGCTTTGTTGCTGGTTCGGCAGTTCCTTGGGAATACTGCGATATTCCGGCATGCTTAGATCCTGCAGGTATATCAATTTATTACGATCAACATTTCAAATGCGAATTCGAACTTAGGGCTGCAGATTTTACACTGGTCTTATTTATTCAGATGGCGACAAAAACTCAATAATTCCTGCAGCACTAGGCTCGAAAATCGACTGTACCACAATACAGTACTGTATATGTAAAGAGACGGACTGCTTATAGTGAAGGAATACATGAGCGAATTTACTCGAATGCGTTCGAATTTAAAAATTACCAAAACATTTTTGTTCAAAGACAGATTTTCAAGCACTTCGCAAGATCCACGAGCAGTTTCAAACATACAGCATTAATCTATTGCAGTAAATATATCTTTCGCTGAAGTCCATCTAAAAGTGTATGGCGTCGAAATTGATGTACGAGCTCTATCCAGCAAATAATGGGGGCGTTGGGCTGTGAACCATTGAGAGAAACAGATTGCCAATGCGTTCTGCAACCCATTCTCTCAATGGTTGGGATTTTGAGCTAACGCCCCCTGTGTGCATTTTGAGGGAAGCATTCCAGGAANAGCAGCAGTTGAATGGGAATTTTTTTTTCTACTGCTTTTCAGACATGGGGGGATGCTTTTATTGGGGAAGTTCCCCCAAACTTTGCTGGCTTGCGTTGGGAACCCATTCTAACATGCATTGGCCAACGTTTGGGAGAACCTCCCCAACGTTTGCCAGAATGGATTCCCAATGCAAGCCAGCATGCCTTGGCCAACGTTTGGGGGAATGCCTGCTCTCATCAGACGTTGGGCAGTGACCAAACGGCCGTTAGCCCAACGTCAGGGTCACAATGACTTTCCAATGGGGCTGCAATGCAGGTTGAAATGGCCAAATTATTTGCTGGGTAGTAGGTTTTTAATGTCTAAAAATGATTCGGCAAAACTTTCGAAAATAATGCCCTTGTAACCCTGCTAAAGATAATTGCCACATTTTTTTATTTACTGAAAAATTGTAAGGGCGTTCAATGGCAGGTCGATTGCTGTTACGTTAAAGTTTTCTTACCGACCTTTCCTTGGGCAGATGAATGAAACCCATGAAGTTGCCGTTGTGATGGAAAGTTTATTTTTTTCAACAAAATAGAGAAGCTTGAAACAAATAAGTCTAGTTAAAATTCCACTTTTTCAGATGGGTTCCTGGCCTTCCCTCAGAAGGAAGAGAAAGAATTGTAACTTAGATTGCAGGTATAAAACAAGGCAAAGAAACTTCAGTATATCTTGAATTGAATCAAGCAGGGAGCAATTTTTTCCACTTTTCAGTGTTCAGAAGGTTCACACAACATTCCCACTTCCAAACTCCCTCCCCTCCAAACCCCAATCCATCCAAAGGCATTCAATCACTTCATTAAGGATAACTGGGAATTAAGTTGTATGTGAATACCTAAAGAAAATAAAAATAAATCCCACAATGTACATCCACACAACTGGTGTGAATGCATACACCCCATTTTTCCCTGATAACAAAAACAAAATATCAGAACAGTGGTGCCTTGCCTAACAATCCCATTGCTTAACAACCACTGACAACCTAAAAAAATTGATTTGCCTAATGACCACTGACCTGCCTAGCAACTGTTTGCTGGCCTTCCTTAAAATAGTATACTGTATTTAGAAGAAGAATACCTTTAATGCTGTTGTTTCTTCCCTCAAAAAAATGGTTATTTTTCAAGCATTTTTCTTGAGGGAAAGTGAGATGAATGAAGGAAATCATAATTGGTGATATTCTAGACCTAAAATTGCTTCCTAAATGAGTTGACAGGATGTAAAATGTGCAGGCAAGGGTTCATTTGCCTAATTAATTGCCCACCTATTCTCAAAAGTTAGTATAAGTTCATTTTTATGGCTTTCCTTCAACATTTTTACATTTTTATGTCTTTCATATTTTCCTGGGATGATAGAATAAAAGGGTCCAGAATCCAATGTATGGAGGTTTTCAATGCATGTTGTTTCTAATTAAATTCAGACAAAGACTTGAAAACAATTTGACTTCAGGAGGTTCCCTGGTTATCCATACATTAAAGTTTAGTTTGTTTCAAGAGGTCTTGCCAGTGCTTGTACCTCATCCAAGAGTGACATTTATGCAAAGTCATAAAGGAGGATTGACTCCTGCTTTGCTCATAGATGTTGCATATATATATGCATGGAGTACAATTGCTGTTAATTTTGTGGGTTATTTTTGAAAGAGAGCAAGGCAATTCAATAAGTAAAAGCATTTGAATGAACTATAGCAGTGTTTTCAGGGATCTTTTCTTTGTTATTTGAAAATTTAGGCAAATTTTTACATTTCTTCAGCCAGAGTTTTATTAGGAACCAATTATTGGGTTTTACATTAATCCTTAAGGAGAAAATTGACCCGACTTACAACTGTTTTACCTGTGCAACACCATGCAGGAACAAATTGTTGTCATTAGCCAAGGCACCGCTGTAATGAGAATTGCAAGCAAATTACTGAACCCAATTTAAATACAAGGTCTTCAGCCTGTTCCCTGATAAGGTTTAGTTGAATAAATAATTTGGAGAGACATTTTGATGAGAAATCATATAAGGTTATTAGTCTGTCTTGGTCCTTTAAAATTTTAGAATGGATCTTGTCATTGAATTTTAATAGTCCCAAATGTTTTTAAAGCTCATTTCTGTAGATTTTGAATGCTGGGCATAAGAAGAGAAGGTGCTCTGGTGATGCATCAACCAATGAATTTATACTGCAGGAATTGCACCATTTAGACACCTTTGAAAAGGCAATTATTTTTTATTGAAGTGCCATGTATTTGTCAAAAGGGCTATGATATCATATACCAAGGGGATGTTAGATGATGCAATGCTAATGTTTTAGTTTTGCCACAAGCAAGATCAGCTAGTAATTTACTTGATTCAAGAACATCACAATCATCATAACAAAATTGAGTAATTAATATATTTTCTCTGCCTTTATTGATGTTGCACTTCAGAATCTGTACAACATCTTCTGCTGATAATATAATATTATACATAAAAAGCTTAACTAAAATTTCTGAATACAGAGTCCTCACAATTAAATCCCATAACTTTTTCATAGACAACCATTTTCTTTGGCATCTTGGAGCCAAGTGAAGTTTTCCAAGCACCACCAGTGATAAAAATTAGAAACGTGTTTACCTTTAATGCTTCTTTTTCAGGAAGTCAATTGGTGCCTCCTGTGTTCTTCTTGCTTGGTGGCACGATTTCATGTGGTTTCAGATGCTTGTGTGGGTTTTTTTTTTGCCTTGATGCTTTTCTGTTGGTTTTTGCTAGGATGGATTTTTATTAGCTTTTTGCTTTTCCAGTCTGTTTTTATCTTACTCTTCATTTCTGGTCCACTGATGCAGGTGTCAGGCCAGAAATGACAAATAATCTGTGAGGTTTGATTGTTGGCAAGGTTTCTGTAAGATAACAAGCTTACAAAGAGAACAAATAGGAATAAAGAATGAATAAAAATAAAACATGATCCGCCGGGGAACATGGCAGGAGGATTCTTGGTAGAATCCTCAAAAGGAAAATAATTGTATTTCAATAATTAGTTTGAATAGAAAAACTACGGGAAAAGCACAAGTACAAACTTAAGTACAAAATTTCAATCCACAAGACGTTACAGCAAGAATTCAGCACAACCAAATGCTTCAAAGACAACAGACATAGTGAGTAAAAATTTGTGACTAAAAAAAAAGACAAAGATATTATTGCACAATTCTCCGCAGCGGGAACTTCCAATGGAATTTCCTGCTGCCACATTCCTAACATTCTTTTGCAGTTTTCAGATCAAGTTTTATGATTTATTTTTAATAGAGGTATTGTCCGTATTTGCGTGACGTGTCCTCTGTGCCCCACAGTTTCCCCACAGATGGAATAAAAAGCAGTAATCAGTGTTCATGAGGCTGAGTTCTCCTTAGTGAAGGCCCTGAGATTTCTTGGGTATTTATCAGAACCACAAGGAGAGAACAAGTACAGACAAAGCAAGGCAGGCAGATGTAAAAAAAGAAGACCAGAACACCGTTTTCGAAGACGAACAAAAAGACCTGGGTCTCTTGAGCCCAATGAACAATTCCCAAGACCACAGACAGAATTCCGACACAAACAGGGATTTCCCCAAAACACTGGAGAAGCTCCTCATGCAAACATTTGCTACAGGAGATGGAAATGTTTTGTTGGTGCGGGTTTTCCTGGGGTCTCTGCTCTGCCACTGGTCTGCCGCATATTAGCCGTGGACCAGTTGTGCAGCGGGAGCTTCCTGCTGCACCTTGCTGCGATCACGTGCCCAGGGCATGAGCTGCACTTTGGCTCCTTTGTCACAGTGGCGGCATCTGTTGACCAAAGCTGGCCATCATGACAGCGGGTTCTTATTCTTATAGATTGCTTTTCGGTTTTTTTTTTTCAATTTTCTGACAAAGCAGCGTTTTTGTTGGCTCATGCACTTATCATCTGACAAACGTACTAAACATTGCGTTTTTTTTTTTTTTTAGTGCGTAGCCTGAACTGCAAGCTAGACGCAAGAGGCGGAGAATACCTGGGCACCCTGGCGGACAGCGCATCTGGCTCTTGCGTCTCTTGGAGCCTAACCCCGTCTTTGCCCAGTGGCCTCGTGAACTATTTGCCAGACGACGATGCTCCATATTCGACACACAATTACTGTCGTAATCCCAAGAGAGGAGAAACAAATCTTTGGTGCTGGTACGCAACTTTTACCGGGTACTCTTGGGATTATTGTCCAGGTGCGAGTGCGTGTCCTTGAGCGGAAAGAAAGAAGATCAGGATTGATTCGAATGATGAAAGGATCTTTACCTTTTGAGTGTGGAATCCATGATTTTGTTGCGCAATTTATCTCAATTTTGCACGAATGCGCAGATTTTGAAAAAATTTTACCTGAATTTACTCAGCTGTCCTACTGTCATTCAGAGCTTTGAAAAAAGAAGATTGATCACGTCTTTTGTTGAGTGTTTAGAAAAAATGCAGTATGCAGGTGGACTTACTCTGCAATAATCTTATCCGCAAGTATTTCCTCTGTGCAACGATTTTTTGTGGTCTCATATATAGGGCTCTCTCACCAAATGAACCTTTAAAACTTGTAATTGTTGAAGCATGAAAATAACAACAAAATAAAAGATTGGAAACCTATTTTTCATCGATTATAGTCAACTTGAAAATTAGATTAATTTCTGTGTCAATATTTTGTTGGGGACATTTTTTGCGCATGCGTTTGACATGCGAGAAAGAAATTTCAACTTGCCTCATTAGGTGGTGGGAGTGCTGGTACTATATATTAGCTGCTCAAGTGTTGAATAACAAGAAATTGCATCTTTGAAGTTGTGCAAAGGAATTATTTTGAAAACCATAAATGACTAAACTTATTTTTTACATTTTTGCGTGCAGACCAATATATCTCGTGAGGTTTTGGGGATTTTTGGAATTTTCTGATTTTTACTGAAGGGAAAAAATCCCTACAGAAGTTGGAAATACTCCATGAAATAAATTTTTTGGCAAACTGAAGTGAGCTTTTCAACAAAGGATTGCCTCCTGTATTCATCATGAAAATAAAATGTTTCCACGTTGTATTCAATTTTAAGCTTTCAATATTTTATATTCACTTCGGGCGACTCAGTTCGTGAGTGCATAAAAAAGATTACATCAATTTTGTTTCATCCTGAACTAGGTGTCGCTACCTACACAGAATTTTACAGAGTTTCGAATTTCGGGGGAAAACGTGCAGGTTAGTGGTTACGGGTCTCTGAAATGACTAAAAATTTTCCAGCCTTGAAAATTTGACTTTATAAATGGAGGGAATAAACGGATCTGAGAACATTCTGAGATTGAAGCACATGCGAAATTTTGTGAGAGCCTTTGAATCCGTCAAAACATATATCAGCATTAGCTATGCAGCAGTGACATGGAAAGAAAACTACATGCCCCGGGCACAGAAGGAATTTATCCCATAGAGTTATCTGAAATGTCGAAAAATGTGTTCCACTGTTTCACGAACATTTCTACGAAATAGACCCATTTTACTAATTCATATTATAGATAGCCCTTGTTGGCACATTAAGTAATATAAAATCAAAAGTAAAGAAAAAGTATGTTTGTGTTATAAATAAAATGACTCGAACGAATGATATATTTCAAATTTAATATCGAAAATTCAAACAAATTATTGATGGCTATTTTTCATGAGAGTTTCGTGCTCTGTTTAACCATGATTGAAACCGCTTACAGTATTCGCAAAGTTAATATTTGAACTTTCAAGCGACAACTACCCGTATTCTACTTTTTTGAACCAATGGTTAAGCTGTTTATTTGGACCAGCTTCAAACGTTGTGTCCATTGAATTCTTCTAAGTTTCGGAAGTAGTTATAGATAGAAAATTCCGAAATTTCACGCTGTTTGGCATCAGCATAATCCGAAAACGTTCACGTCACTTCCTTCCGACTCGTGTCACACGCGAATAACTGAGTATACCGGCTAAACCAACTAGTCAATATAGCAATCTTGACAGAAAAGATGAACACAAAGTTGATGGAGGATAAATTTGTGCGAACACTTGTACAAAACTATAACACTCTCGATGCTCTAGTTTGACACAAAATTCCCATGAGGATAAAAAATTAGCTTTCTCACACACACCAGGTCCTTACATTTTCTTCAGTAGCCTGAAATGCGCGAAACAGTTCTTTTCCATCAAAAATCAAAGTCATAAGTACCACATGAAAACAAAAGCATAACACAGTACGGTATTTAAGTTTGTAGTTCAACGAACCGCAACNACTTGATTTGGGAAGGAAATCTGAGCAATTTGCATTTCTGCTCTGCGAAATGCTTAACCTGGACCGGAAGAGATTGCTGGGGATTCGAGTACAATATTGAAACTAAAAACTGCAAAGTCATCGAAGGAACATCGCCTACTTCATACCTTTCACTGACTTCCACTGCTCTCACTGGCTCCCGACTTTACTGGTCAACACCCGATTTCAGTGAGGGGATTTCTTTTCTTCTTTTTTTTTTACTGTCAAACAAAAAAACTGAGGAATGCGATTTATGATGCAGACAAATGTGGTGCACCGATGGAGTATAATGAGTACACCACAACGACTTATGCGGATCCACCGAAAGCTTATGGAACTAGTCTAAGTGCAAAGTGCAAAACTGGCAGTGCTTTCAATTCTGCTCAGCTAGCCAGCTCTAATTACCCGACTACTCACGATACAAATGGTTTATTTAGAAGTATACCGATCACTTGCGGCAGGCTTGGTTTGTGGTATCCTCGACGTGGGAGTTTGCCGGAATGCCAAAGTGAGATTGAATTTTTCTTAATTTTTTTACGTACTTTTGAAAATTTGTGATTTTGGAATTAATGCTTTTCAAGCGTTCGTCGAATGCTTGCGGACTATTAGGGGCAATGAATTTCAAGGAAATACTTATTCGACAACTGCATCCGGCGCCGCCTGCATCAATTGGTCGGCACAAACTTACGAGACTGGTTGGGTCACCGACCCGAAAGCGGTGAAAATTATTCGTGATCATTCAATAATTATTTTTGTACCAAGGAAAAATAAATATTTATATATTCCATGCTAAGCTGAAGGTACCCTTTAATTTAGTTTCCGACAGGCACATTGGCAGATCAAGGCAATTATTGTCGAAATCCAACGTATACTTCACGCAATAAACCCTGGTGCTTCGTTGCTGATTCCGCTGTGAAATGGGAATACTGTAATATTCCAGCTTGTTTGGATCCTGCAGGTAAATTATTCTACACTTGTTTTCAATACTACCCCCTTCGACTTGGATTACTACTGTAAATAGATTCTTCCTGGAAAATAAAATCTGAAAGTGATTTTTTTCAAGAAATGAACGCTTAGAAAAAAAATTTTCGAGCTGTCCGAACGTCAATCAAGTCATCAATCACCAAGTTTCCAAAAATACACACATCATGAATCCATCAGCTATGAAAAAATTCGCGATTCTTCGACTGCTTATCGCGTTGCAGACCAACTAATTAAAAATTAGGTTTTTTATTGCTTTTTTCATTCAATAAGAAACTTTTTATGTCTCACCTGGCTCAAGCTAAAAATTGATGACAAGGCATCAAGACCAATAAATTAAAAACTGAAGAAGTCTTTCCTGGATTTAATTATAAAACATTTCCAC